CGCAGTCCCGATCTAGTAGGGATAGAAGAAGGAGGCGCGGGGCTACTTCGCACACGGCATAATTGTCTAGATTAGTCCAGGACGCGACCGCCCGACATAGGCGCGCTCTTGTCAACAGTCACCGTCTTCTTCAGAGCCATACCCGTCTTGACCTGGCTCAGGAAAGCAGCTGGGCGCTGACCCACCCCGCCACCACCTGCTGCCGGCGGAGGAGGGCCTGGCGGTGGGGGAGGAGGAGGCGGAGGAGGGCCCCCTGGTGCACCGCCTGGCGGTGGTGGCGGGGGTGGAGGTGGAGGCGGAGCAGACGGAGCATCGGCTGACGGTGCTGGGGGCGGCGGCGGAGGGGGAGCCGTCGGAGCTTCAAAGATGGGAACCGGGGGAGGAGGAGGGGCAAATGCTGGCGCACCAGACACGGGCGCTTCGGGCGCGTCGGCAGTAGGTACAGGAGGAGGCACGTCGGGCGCAGCCACAGGAGGTGGCGGGGGCACAGTGGGTGAGCTCACAGAAGCAGGCGAGGCGCTCGTGTTTTTGTCACCCACAGCCGACAGCGGCCGAGGAGGCGCCATGCTGCCAAACAAGCGGGACGCCAGCTCGGCAGCGCTCTTACCGCCAGGCCGATCGTCGTCGTCCGAGTCCTCCTCTTCATCGTCGTTCGCATCCGAGCCCCAGCCATCGTCCGTGTCAGCACGCTTACGAGAGACCGGGCCCGTAGGAAGGGCAGCAGGGGCGGCGGCCGCAATGGGATTGGCCGTCATGCGGTGGAAGGGATTGGTCGAAGCATCGCTTGCGGGACCCGTAGACGCAGGCGGAGATACAACCGTAGTGGGGCCGGTAACAGAAGAGCTACCAGAGGACTGCGACAGCATCTTAAAGTACGGGTTGCGGCTCTCGGCCTTGGTCTCATCAGGTGACGTGGCGTTGCCGTTTGACGTTGGCACGGGAGGAACCACAGCCGTAGGCGCGACCTCGCGGTCGTTGCTAATTTGACTGCTGGCAAGCGTGGGCGTCGAGGCCTGCGGCGTGATCTGCTGCGGACCCTCGTCGTCATCGGAGGAGTCTGAATCGGCGTCCATCGACTCCAGTTGGCGCCGAAGCTCCTCCTCGCGCTTCTTGGCCGCGTCGATCTCGGCCCGGCGTGCAGCGAGTTTGGCCTCCTTCTCCTTCGCCTCGGCGAGGGCAGCCTTTTTCTTCTTCTTCTCCTCCTCCTTTTTGATCTTGCCCAGCCGCACTTGCTCCTCAAGCTCCTTGAGACGCTGCTCGGCAGTTGACAGCTCGTCTTCATCCGCCTTTGCGTTGGTCCTATAAACAGTTAGTAACTGGACTAGTCATTACCTTCGAGAAACCCGAGGGAACATAAAAACATACTCAATCTGCTTGGTCTTGGCTTGTTGTTGTTCCAGGCGCTCTTCCTCTTCCACCTTGGGTGCCTTGCGGACCGCCGGCGGGGGTGGTGCACTCTTTGTCTCGGCAGCCGCAGGAGCGGCAGTAGCAGCCGGTGGTGGGATGCCCCGCTCCTCGGCTAGTCTGGCCTTGCGCTCGGCATCTCGGCGGGCTGTCTCCTCGTCAGCCAGACGTGCCTTTTCTGCGCGCTCCGTCCGCTCACGCTCTGCCCTTTGCGCAGGCGACTCGCCACGGCGGTTGATACCAATAGCAGCAAGCCGCTCCTGCATGCGCTGGGCGGCCTGCTCCTTGATATAGGCGGCCCTCTCCTCAGGCGTTTTGTAGGCCGAGTAGGACGAGCCACCCGCAGTTGGTGTTGCCGTTCTAGAGCTGGATACCGGGCTCTCGACGCGAGAGGTGCTAGGGGAGCCCGAGTGTGGGACGACATCTGCAGGCGCTGTCAGCGCGTCATTGCGACGGTCCTGAGCGCGGATGCGGTTCGAGCGGCTGGAGCGCTGGAGGTCAAAGATAAAGTCACGGACCTCATCCTCCACGCCAAGTGCATCCTCCCAACGGCGGCGCTCGTGCTCTGCAGTGGAGTTGCTGCCCGTGTCCTTGATGCTATCCTCGATGCCAGAGGCAAACTCGCGGACGCTGTCTTCGACGTCCTGGACCATTCGCTCGTTGTTCTCTTTCTCGTTGCGGATCTTGGAGCTCTCCTCCTCCAGACGTCTTGCAGCATCTGCGCCGTTGTCCGAGGCCTCGACCTTCTCGCCCCGGAGAGCGGCGGTGCGCTGGCGCATCATAGCCTTGGCGCGGGCCTTGACACGGTCAGACTCAGTCACGGCACCGCCGGGGCCAGTGCCGACAATAGGCTCTGCATTGCTCGGGTTCGCCTTGGCGTCCTTGATACGGAAAAGCTCAAGGCGAGCGTCGGAAATGGCCTTTTCTGTCTTGCGGACCTGGGACGCAAGGCTGGGAATTTTGTCGGTGAACGTTTGGAGCTGGCGCTTCAGGGTACGGCGCTCGGCATCCGAGTTGCCACTGGTGCTGACCAAAGACGTGTTCGGGTGGCTGTCTATGTCCTCTTGGATACGTCTAATGCGGCGGTAAAGTTCGTCGGCCTCGCGGCGGTCCTTTCTGTCGAGAATTTCATCCTCCTCAGCGTTCTTCTCGTCGCTAAAGTCGAGAGCGTCCAGGACCACCTGTTTCTCACGAATCTTCTTGCGCAGCTGCTCCAGCGTTAGGTCGTCGTTGGACGTCACCGAAGACGGGGAGTCGGGCCGAGGCGACTCGTTACCACCGCCAAGCCTGCGGCGGGCGCTGGACTTGTAGCTGACTGCCTCGTCATCGTTCTTGAACACAGTACCGTCTTTGCGGTTCGACCCAAAGGCCTCACCGCTGCCACGGAACGAGTGGCTCTTTAAGTAGCTTACGCCTGTCTTCTGGGGGAGCAGAGCAGCACCCGAGTTCTTGCGATAGTCAGACTCCTGGTTGACCAAATTCTTCAACGTGTCGAGCGACTCGCTGAAGTTCCGGGTCGACGGAGGAACGAGCTCTGCAGGCAGGCGTGCGGGAACAGGGTAGCCGTTGAGCTTCCGGTAGATCAAGTGCATGGCGACCGCAAACTCATCCAGGTTTAGACGGCCCTTGTTGCCATGATCAGCCAGGGTCCACACACGTTCGAGGTCTGGCTTTTCCAGTCCGCTCTGGCCGAAGATCTCAATAGCCTGGCTACCGGCGATGAAACCCTTGTTCATGCCATCCCAAGCACGGAAAATGGCATCGTAGGTGGTCTTCTCACCCTTCGTGATGGCCCACGGAATCTGTGCGTTGCCCTGTAGACCGGCCGTCGTGAAGTTTCCTGTGTTGCCTTGATCGCGGCCAGTCTGCGGCATCATCCGCGCCTGGAGAATATCGATGTTCGGCAGGCCTGTCGAAGGAGTGTTGACCAGACCCCACTGACCAGGCCGTCCGGTCGGTTGTGCGTTCAAAGGCGCGGCCATGCCAGCACCGCCCGCCGCGCCAAATCCAGTGGGCATTGGCGGCATAGGAGGACGAGGGCCGTTGTATCCGGCGGCCTGGGGGTTTTGTTGGAGACCCTGGAAACCAGTGGGCTGCGGTTGGAAACCTGTCGGCTGGCTGAGGAAGCCGCCCTGCTGCTGCTGTTGCTGGCCGGGAAAACCGGTCATCGTCGCCTGGAGCAGTTGCGAGTTCGAAGCCTGCGGCTGCGGATGCTGGATAGCTGGCGGGGAAGCCGTTGTCTGGCGACCAGAGAAGTCGGGCGCGTTGGTCGAAGACTGTGCACCGTTGGCGCTGTCATCCTCAATGCTGAAGTTGATAATGTCCACCATGCTCGAGACCTCGTTCTTGATGTTGGCCGGCAGAGTCGAGGGAAGCGTCTTGCCCGTGAGCTTCAGGTTGCATAGGTACATTGCGAGCGCAAACTCGGGAAAATGAAGTTGTCCGGAGCGGGTGGTATCGGCAAGAGTCCTATGAAAAGAAACAAAAAACACAAAGTTAGTATGCTGCACAAAAAACTGCTTCCACTGAGCTTCTGCATCCCAATCTCCTTCTGCCAAGGACCTACCAGATCTGCGACAAAGAGTCGCCATCTAATCTCGACCGCAGAAGCAAGTCGCGCGCCTTCTCGCCACTCATCGTGGTCTGGCCGTCGCCGACTGCAGATTTGAACAGGGTCTCGAACTTGGCCTGGTCTTGGGCTGTGATAAAGGACAGGCGGATATTCGGGATCTTCGACGAGGGCTTAGCTGACTGGGCAGCCGATGCGCGGGCTGCGGCACCACCGCCGGTCTGGAACGAAGCAGCCATTTCCTGGAAGCCGGTCGGCTGGGGCTTCATCGGCACGGCAGGGGGGGCGAGACCTTGAGACGGTCCAGAGGAGAAGGGGCTCGAAGACTGTTGTGGCAGCGAAGGAAGTGGAGGCTGCTGCTGCTGGTTCTGTTGCTGGAACTGTGCCGGAATCGAAGGCATGGGCGGCGCAGCACTCGACTGAAATCCGCCCGCACCGGGAAATCCGGTGTACTGCGACTGAAGCTGACCGGGGATCTGCTGGGGCATGCCGGTTGCTTGGGGCTGAACGCCGGGAAATCCTGTGTACTGCGACTGTAGGGGTGCCTGGCCGAAACCAGTCGGTTGTGGCGCAAATGGACCCTGTTGCTGTTGCTGCTGCGGCTGTTGCTGTTGATGGCCGAACGGTGAGGCGGTGCCATACAGAGGTTGCTGCTGCTGCTGGCCGGGGCGAAGGCCGGCGCCGCCGCCGAGGAATGAGTTGGAGTTGGAATACATGGCAGCCTCGGAATCAACTCGATAGGGGCGTCGGGTTACGATAGGATCGCAGGAGGCAGAGACGACGGACGGATCCCTCAAGAATTGGGAATTAGATAGCTCGAGATAGAAAATGACGTGCAAGCAGAAACAGAAAGTGTAGGCGAATGGAGAAAAAGCTCGACAAAAAAGAAATGGGTGAGAAAAGGAGAGAAACAAAGCTAAAACATCCAAGATGCAAAAGGAGTAGGCGAAGCCCCCCGAGGACAATACAGCTTGGTCGCGGAGCAAGCAAAGGCAAAGGGGAGCGGTTGGGGAGGGAAACGAGGGAAATGGGGTCACACGACACAGAGAGCGTGCAATGGCGATGCAAAACAAAAGAGAAAAGAGTGAGGGTGATGGGGGTGAAGGTGGTGAACACTGAAGGCGAAGGAGATGACGAAGCTTTGCTGGGGGGCTGCAACCAAATTTGGGCAGCGGGCACGGTAGGAACAAACTGGCAGGTCTGGAAGGAGCAGCCAGAGCGAAAGCTTGGAGGAGGTGGAAGGGGCGCAGGACAACTGGGGACAGGTGTGGAGGCCTGATTGTTGCGTGGTTTTGGCAGGTGCGAGCGCCTAGCCCAATTTGAGGAACCCGATAATTCCACACTGAAGCTTGCACAAGCCACAAAGCACCGCCACATTACCTCTTCACGACACGCTTTGTACTTGATGCTGGGGCGTCTGGTTGCGCGCTGTAGAGGCATTCAGCGTGGGATGTAGCACTGTAATTACGTCGTATTTTGTCCGTCGTACCAAGGCCAAAGCATCAACCTCTCGTCAACTTCCGACTCACTCACGAATACTGCACTGCATTCCTGCGCGCTGCCCCTGACCCCCAGCTGCGACCATGGCAGAAACTAAGACGGCCGACAGTTTGTCGCAAGTGCAGGATGCCGTGGACCAGGTATGCTGCACCCGATCTCTTATCGCAGAACAACCGCGATGGGCGAGCCCTAGCAGGCGAAATAGAATGGGAGGATGTGAATAAAACGAGCTGCCACTGACCGTTTCATCCTCCAGCTTGCGCATCAGTTCCTCGCGTGCCTCTATTTCCTCGAACGCCACCACAACCTCGAGAAGCTGGGACCGACGGACATCATCCAGGAGCAGCAGAAGACTGAGAGCCAGCCTCGGACGTTAACTGGTTTGTCCTCTACATGGTATCCGTTAGACGATTATTCTGTGCTAACATTCGTTTGTTCTTTTCTTTAGTCGAGGCAATTCCCACAGACGAGTTCCGGCAAGGCCAGGAAGAACTGGCGCGCGACCTTGTCTATAAGGAGCAGCAGATTGAATACCTCATCGGCAGTCTTCCAGGCCTCGAAAATACAGAACAAGACCAAGAGAGGCTGATCCGTGAGTTGGAGGAAGAACTAAAAGTGGCGGAAGTGCAGCGGAAAGAGGCGGTACGTGAGCGGGACGAAATGCTGGCGAAATTGGACGGCGTGATCCGAAGTATCAAGCGGCCATAGAGGTTGGTGATTGGAGATGTAATTGGACAGTGAAACTTTTGAAGCTAGATACCCCATGGATGATTGACGCAAGAAAAAGAAAACTTTTCTTAAAAACATAACACAGATGCTCTATTAAGAAGCAACTCCCAAGCGGGGCCGCCTGTAGGGTCTCTGATCTAATCTATCGCGGCAAGTCTATGCGTGCAGCCACGAATAACCATAACACGTTGCTCTATCATTACACACAAATCAAATGCATGCAGCTCTTCACATAAACGGATTTGTCTCGTTCCTGGGCCGTCTTAGGAAGAGCTGCTCTTGAAAAGTTGCGGGTAGATAGTCCGCAGCTCGCTCAGGGTGCTGATTTGGAACTGGGAAGCTGGTGTTCGTGGCGAGGTAACGCCTTCTTCGACCAGGTGGGCCACCGTCCAGCCGAATTCCTTTGCGCCCTTGCAGTTAATGTACGAGTCGTCTATAGGCATGTTAGTTTCAGTTTGCAAAACCTAGTGTCGCAAGGTATGATGCGTACCGACAAAGAAACAATCTTCAACCCGCTCGATGCCCGCGTCGCGCATCGCTTTCGCAAACATGTCCTTGTGTGGCTTGCACAACAGCGGTGTTGAGCCGTAGTCGCAGAATGTGATGCCTTCAAAGTGCTCTTCGATCTCGAGCAGCCGAACCACGCGCCGGCCGTGCGTCACATATGCATTTGTCAACAGCCACAGCCGTACCTTGTCGCGGTCAATGTCCTGCAGTAGCTGCTTCAGAACCGGGTTTGGCTTGATAATCTCGTCCAGCGGCAGCGCATCGTCCACCTTTGCGTTGTAATCGAGCGGGTCGATCTGATGGTGCCGTACCAAGCCCTCAAGGGCCAGGCCGTAGTTCTGGTAGTACTCCTTGTGCAGTCGCACCGCCTCATCCCAAGGTAGAGACAGATGATTGGCAAAGTACTCGTCAATGAGCTTTGCCATGCGGTCGTGGACTTTCGCGCCTGAAGAGACAAAGGGCGGTTAGTGTGAATTTTCCAAGGGAGAATCATAATCATAGGTGAGAGCGAAAGGTCCGATACTTGCTTTTTGGGTAGAGGCAGTTGTCAATGTCACTGGAGGCGGGCGTCAATGTTAGTCGCATTGTCGGCTTTGTCAGTTCGGGACGCGTGAAATGCGGCTTACAAAAATAAGACCTTTTTCGGTGCCCGTGAGGCGCCTTCCGTGGCCTCGCCCGGCAGTGACGTCGCGTCACCCATCCTGGTCGCTTTTGTGTATAGGTTCTGTTTTCGGCAACAATAATATGCCGTCTTCTGTATCGCAAATGAGCGTTGGAGCCCTGAACCAAGCAGAGCAAGAGGAGCAGGGAGTGCTTTCAGCATGACAAACACGTACGTTTGGCTTGACCTACAGCGTGTTGCTTGTCTGAGCTATCGGAATGGTGACAAGCTGGCGAGATCGGGGCCTTTGAGAGTTGTGATGTCGGAAGCAGCCGTTGTTAACCGTGTCACGTGGGTGGGGAATGCTAGTTTTAGTTTGTTGCGAACCAGGCAAGAGCGTTAAGAATTACGACGAAGATTGCGTTTGTGGTCCTCGAAATTGATTTGTATAGAGAAGGCCGCAGGATTTTTGTCGTATGAAGAACATAGAAAATCGAATAGATAGAAAACTATAACGGGTATTTGCTTTGTAATATATACTGACACGCCCATAGCTGCCGAGTGAGTCAAACCATGACCGAAAGTACAAGCCTCGATGCAGTGAAGTCGGTCGTCACTGCCTGTTAAGGCGATAAGATAAAACGGCTCCAACGTTATTTTGGTGTAGTCAGGTGGTCCGTGCTGTAGCTGCAGCACTTCACTAGTCGCTGGGTCGCGACTGCGCAACTTTTTTGTTTTGCTGGGCCTGCCAGTTTTTGCCGCTTGTCAGTTCGCTTCGTCCAAACATAGCTTTGTTTGATTCATCTCCGTCAACCATCAACCAGCGATTTTGACTTTCGTCTCCGGCAGCCTCACGCCAGACTGCGCTGGGTCCCTTTGGCATAGCGGCTTATTCGCCGTTTGATTTGGCCTGACGCGCGAATAGTCAGACGCGCGGAAAAAGATGTGGCCAACGACATCTCGTTTTGTTTCGTCTGTTGTCGTCGCATGGTAGGCGCCGGCTTTTGTTGTCGCCGGCTCCCCCTTTTTCTCCCTCTTTGCTTTTTCTTGCCCTTGACCTCACAGGTACACGCCGCCGTAGTGCGCTGCGAGACCGATATACCTTCCATTGAAAGGTCTTTTTGATACACCGTCCGATTTGTTCCTCCTTGGCTGCCCGCCATGTCGATTGAGATGGAACTGGACCCGCCCCCTCGCGCGTCCATGACAGAAGACGATCTGCATCGCATGATGGAGTTGAACAGAATCATAAAGCTGAGCGAGAGCATCACGTCTGGAAAGCACCCAAGAATCAAGATTCCACCACACCTTGTACCCTCGACCACGAGCACTGCGAGTCCGAAGCTCCCTCCCGGTGCAGAGCGGCGACCTGGCAGCAGCAAACATGCTCACGATACACTTACAATACCGACGGCTGAGACAGGCGCCGGGCGGGTGAATGGTGCTGGCCATGAAGCGCACAGTATAATTGCCGGGAACAATCTCGTGGCGTTTGTGCAGAACAGCCGGTCGTTGGATGTGACGGACGCAACTGCACCTCTTTCTGGCCTGGACTTTGCTTCTGGAGTGCGTGCTGTGTCGCCGAGTAATATCTCGCTATCGGAGATCCCACTGCAACGTGCCAGACTTGAGGCTTTGCTTCGGGAGCCGCCAAACCTGCGAGGCAAGGCAAAGGTGGAAGAGGTGCAGGCTGATTTCTTGGTGGACGACGTCCTGCGGAGGGGGCGGGAGCTCGAAAAGACGTTCACACCTCCCCCAGTGGCAGTTCTATCCCAAGGTCTTATCACTAACCTGGGTGGCGCTTCAGTAATACCAAAGGCAAATGCTTCGTCAAGTGCAGCTGCAGAGTCTGTGGATGACCAGACGTTTTACTCGTCCAACTTCAGCACACCCGAATTCGCCCTCACCTCCCGGGTCCCAGCCGAGTCCGACCGCGACGATATGCCTATGGAGGAGGGCTCCGATTACGAACCTGAACTCGACTATGTCCCATCTTCTCCACAACCGGCACAACAGCCAGACCTGGCTGCGCTTCAGCAGGTCCCACCTGAGCAACTTGCTACCGCTACTTCTGAATTGTCTGGGCAGCTGCCTGCTGAACTACTGTCGACTCTGCTGGGAGCAAACTTTGACTCGGTATCCCTCACCCAAGCCGCTCCACCACAGCCATCCATGAACCCAACACCTGAACAGATACAACAAGCGGCCGTTGCCGCACTTTCCGCATGGCCCGGGCTTCTTGGAGGGCCTCAGGCTGCAAGTGGTGGAAGTGGCATTTCTAGTTCTCCAGCCCACCTACGAGTGGCTGCTGGCAACCCTCAGCCATCTTCTCCATTAGTTCGGACACACGATTTGTCGCCTGTAGCTCCCCAACCAGCGCATATCTCCTCGTTGGCTGTTGCGTCTCAGCTGCCCTTGGCCGCAGCCGGAGGTCAGTCCGGATCACAGGGCACGCCGGCGCAAGTGGCCATGTTGCGAAGGGGAGAAGCGTCTCAGTCAAGCCCGGACAGCTCGCCGTATGTTGATGGACGCGCTACCGACAAAGGCAAAGGAAAGAAGAAGTATGCTGGGAAGCGCAAGGCTGATGTCAACACGACTTCACCGCGTATCAAACTTGAGCCAAAGTCTCCCTCGCCGATTCTCGCCCCACCCGCGCAACGACCACACAAGCGACAGAAACAAGATTCACGACCGCCAGCGCGAGATGTTGTCTACCGTCGACAGGGGGATGAATACAGTCCAACTGCGCAACCCACGTCTTACGGCCCTCCGCATGCTGTACGAGGGGACCCTCGTGTGCCTATTATCTATGAGCGGGTTGATAGAGGACATTATGTTCAGCCTAGAGCGGCAGCTGCCACCCGCCGTGCGAGCTTACAACGGTACGAAGAACAGCGGAGCCTTGAGGGTGGCTATGGGCAAGCCCACACAGGTTACGCGCCGACGATTGCAGCCGGTCCGCCCTCGCGTCAGTATGCGGCGGGCCCTTCCCATCCAAATGTGCGTCCTGCTGGGCCGGCGACGCATACTCTGGTCGAGAAGTCGTCTGGCTACCCTGTGCACTCCGCGGGCGAATATGAGGGTTCCGGGCGGGCGAACATGCGACCGGTGGCCATGGCCCCACCGCCTAGAGAGCGCGTTGTTGTTGACGAGTTTGATCGGGAATACTATGAACCGGTCCCGCCGCCTCGTCCACAGCAGCCCGTAATGGAATCAGTCACGTACGACCCGAACTTGGCCTATGAGCGTCCAGCTTCACGTTTACACCAACAACTCCGGTACGAGGACCGCTATGGCTCTCAGGCACTACAGCCTGTCTACGACGATGACGAGATTGTATATCGGAGAACGTCGCCGATGTTTGCGGCTCCTAGACGGGTTGTCACGCAACCGGAATATGTAACCCGCGAATATGCGGACTACCCGCGGCGAGAATTCTCTGCACGTCCTCCCCCCTCACAGTATCCAGTTGCGGCTGAGAGGGGCTATATTGTGGAGGGGGCAGCGCCGGTCCCAGGCTATGTAACCAGGGCGTCTACGGTGCGGCCTCCCGAGGCTGCTCGGTACGAAGCACCGCCGCCGGGCCGATATGTGGAAAGGGTAGGTAGTGTTCGGCCGCCAGATGCTGCCGTTTACCAAGGGTATGCCGGCGGCCCAGAGGATGGGCCTCGTATCTATGGTGGACCGGCACGGGGTGTGCCGGAAGGTGGCGCTTATATTGATGACCGCCGTGGCCCTCATGAAGTAGTCCGGGAGTACAGCATTCGTCCCGAGTCTCATGTCGTTGTGCATAGAGAGTACAGTGCGCGGCCTGGGCCGGCGTCGGCGTACTACGCGGAGCAAGCCCCGTACGCGATGGGTGGCCCGCCTACTCAAGAGTATGCTTACTCAGACGAACGGGCTGCATACCAGTGAGCGGATGCCATTAGTGAGCTATGGCATCAGATCAAGTTGACGATGGTACAAGTGACTTGTCTTGCTTCCTTTATTATCTTTGCATAATTTGGCTGGATTTGGCCAATCAAAGTAGAGCATCAAACGGAGTACATTTTGCGGTTGTCATTTAATAGCATTGGGGGAATAAGATACAAAAGCATTTTGATTTCTATTTCCATTGCAACTACCTGTTATGATTTTACAGATTATTGGTTTCTCCCAAAGAACACAGGCTGCCGATTGTGAGCACATTTTTTGTAGTCGCCATGGCCCTTTACGTTCACTTGTCGCAATGGACATGGAACTAGGTAGAGGCATTATTTTACTTCCTTCAAACCCGGGGCAGAAGTTTGAATCAAAGATGGAAATGGCCAGGCATACAACGTGTTATCTACACAAAGAGGAGTGCCGTTTAGTTCACATATCGGGAGGACTTGGTTGCACGTGGATAGACACTTTATCGTGTTGTAGTGGATAGCCACAGATTATTTTACGATTTTCAGTATCATATGCCCAGACAGCCCTCGTCAGATGCTTCTTATTGAACATTTTGGGCAGGCATCGAACAAGGAAATCCGGACACGCCCTGTCGATCCCTGGGGGTATGTGATAAATCTGGGACGAAATAAAACACAGGCGCCAATGCGAGAGCTATGCACAGCTCCGGAGTTCCTTCGAACTGTTCTGTCACTTGGTTCGTTTCTTGTCAAGGATTCTACTTCATGATCCTCAGCTCGCCAGCAGACGGTCGATTGATTGGTGAACTGACGAGTTGGCGATGGCAGTCTCTGTTTTAAATGCAGCCTGTTTCTAGCAATCGTCAAGCAAAGTAGGCCTGTGTCTCCCCGCGTTTCCGGCTGACACACTCCTGGTCTGGCAAAACTGCAAGATGCACGACAGAGTGGGGGGCACACTGGTAGGCTCGAGCACCGAGCTTTGAATTCTGAGGAGTAGGTAACCTCCAAAGTACACCGAGTTGTGCAACGTGTTTAGCAACAATGTCTTCCATCGTTGACATTGTTTGTGTCATTGATATGGACCGCACATACATAGTCCAGCCGACGAGTTGATTGAGTGGACTCTATCGCGCTTTCGAAACTGTGCCATTCTCGATTCTTGGAGCTTGTATATATGAATCTACGGCGTGACACGGTTCATGAAGCTGGGAAGCCATCTAAACATTGATCGACCTTCTGTGCCGTGCCGCGTGCTGTGAGATAGATTGCAAGATGTTGCAACAGCTACAGGTGCTGTCTCTGCTCGTAGATCCTTGTAGTCGTTCACATTGAGCAGCTCGACGGAGTCCACTGACCTTTGTTTGCACAGAAATTGGGCGTCGACCTCTCTCGAGAGTGTTTGGCTGGAATGGTCGAACTGAGTAGCAAAAAGCATGACCGGCATTCGATCTGAAGCCGAGCGCGACGGTGGAAACGCCAGGCCCGGATTCGGAGGCATTCCACAGGCATCCGGAGCAAATTCGAGGCAGCTCTGCTCGTTCCTGTTGGGGGTGTCGACAAAGAGTACGTGGCAGGCTCCATGTGCCCCATTCGCGCTCGGCTGTTGTGCAGGGCCATTGCGACAGACGAGGATGTAATAAGACGTGGTTTCGATCTCGGGCGTCACTGCTCCCCACTTCGTAATACGGGGGTAGTTGTCCTCCTGGGCAAGCTTTCTGGAGCAAAAGTCCCGTTCATTGTGGTCGTTCCTGCCTCTTGAAAAAAAGGAGTAATTTCTGGCGTGGAACGGGAAAGAAGCAAGACCGAACCACCCCTGTTCCTGCCCTCTCTTGGGCCTTGTTGGCGACCTCTTCCTCTCCTGCCTTTTACCCATTTTTGGCGGGTGGAGATGAGGACTGAGGCAGTGCAAATGGACCACACTCTGAACGAAATCCAAGGCATGCAATGAAATCACCGCAAAACCATAGAACGGCGTGTTGGATTCGTAATGCCTGTGTATCTGATGTCTGAACACGAAGCAGCTTATTTCAGAGACACCAACGCGCCTACGGGGCGAGCTGCGACGTGCATCATTCCTGTAGGCATGGCCGGAATAGCTGGAAATAAGACCATCGTATGGTCGTGTATCCAGGTTGCTTCCTTTGTTGGTTTGTGCTTCGTTCTTTGCTTCCTTTCGTTCCTACATCCTTCCGCGTTCCAGCAGCAACAACGCGACTGGAAAGCGTGACCGCGCCCTTGAAACTGATATTGGATATTGGCCGGGTCCTTTGCTTGACGTGGCAGAAATAGCCTTCAGATTTCAGCAAGAATCCGTGGATAGGTCCGCTATCTTGTCCAAACCCTTATTGCATAGTTCTAGCTATATCCATAGTCCATATACGACATATGCAGTGCATTGATTGCATGAGGTGCTATTTTCAGTCATGTTAAATTGCAAATGCAGTAGCTTCGAGCGTGCCTGGAGAACGACCTGCAAGGCAGGTCGTCCTCCCACCTTTCTCCACCGGCACATCCGTGTCTCCTTATGTGACGAATTTTACGCCGCACTGAGTATCTACTGTCAGATGTCTGCCAGTTAAACACGTCCATACGAGTGATCATCCGCATGCCCCTTATTTCTTTTGTCTGGAATTCTTTATTCTGCACGACCCATGCCCGCTGCTCCGCCGGGCATGCTCGTCCCCAGCTGGCTGCGATGCCACATCCTGTTTGGTCACGCTGTTTGAATGTCATAGCGCCCGTCAAGCCCAGCAGTTTTGCTATCGTGACAGCTTTGGCAGCCTTGTGAGTGGAAGAAACAGCGTGATGTGAGCGACGTATTAACTGTAAGCGGCAGCTGCTTTGTTCTTGCCTCGTGCTTGCTTTGGGTAGGGGCAAGAGTAGACGGTCGTACGAGTCGGCTACGTTAGTGGAAAGACGCGGAGCATTGGGCACGGAAGGAACGAAGTGTCATCTTTTGACTCGTCTGAGCCAAACCGGAAGGAATGTTGTGTACAGATCCTAGATAGACAAGCGCGAGCCTGCCTCAGTGAGACGTAAGATCACGGGCAACTCCCGGGTGGCATCACCTGCCTCTCCTGCAAAATAGCAAAACACAACTCTTGGCTTCGAGATATGTGTCCACGCAAGACTCCGGCAGAGAATGCCCACCAAGTAAATGGAGCTTATCCACTTCTTTCCAGACACCCAGACGAATGGGGCTGCCAAGCATGCCTGGAGACATGTGTGAAGCTCTGACCAGTTTTCGATCGAGCAACCCTACGTCGCAATACACCAAAAAAGTGTGTGACGAGAAAGAAAAACGAGAAAACCTACACTTGATTTTTAGCCCCGTAATGCCTGCTAAGACGTACTAAGGCTGTGTTTTGGGCAGACCTTTATGGCATAGCGGCGGAGGCCCCTATGGTAAAGCTATGCTGTGGGGACTCTGCGTAGGTCGTTTCCCCCGAATGCCGCTCTGCAGCACATTGTGGGAGCGCTAAAACAGCTTTGGATGCCGTTGCGAGTAAGAACAAGTGCCGCAAGACGGCCTTTGCCTGGCCAAATGATGAGCTCAAATCCCCGCTCTCTTCTCCGTGCCGCCTATCGCTCCTGCTCGTCCGATGCTTCCGCTGAAGAAGGAACCCTCTAGCTACCACGATTATGCAGAAAGGTCGCATGCTATTGTTAGGAAAAACCGTCGGGGCATGCAAGTGTCGAACGAGTTTTCCTCCGCGGTGCTCCATGGTGGTGGGTTGGTATGGACTAGTCTGCTGTGGGAAGGACGGGACATGAACAGCGTGCTTGTCGGCATCTTCCTGCATCATGCTGCATTTTGCTGCATCTTGATAACATGCCTCTGTGCATCTCCTCCAGACTGATTGCTCCTTCTCTTGCGGTGTGATCACGCCGCATATCTTTCGTCCTTTGTCTCTTTCCTTAATACGCAGCCAAGGAAGGTTGTGAGAACGGCAAGTACGACCACCTTTTAACGCTTGTGGGGTCACGCTTGCTCGGCTTCAGGCCTATCACGCCGCACTTTCTTGATGTGTATGGGGGTGTCTAGCTTTGTAGTGTGGACTCGCCTTGTGTCGTTCCTGCCTTTTTGGCCTTTCCCCACTCACACCCAGGGAGCGCCAGCCCACTCCAGCCCACCGCTCCCTCCCACCTCTCAGGGCATTGGATCTGAAATCTCAAGGTCTTGCTGGCGGGTTGTCGGTGTCTGAGTTGTCCACTTCCAGCCCGAGCTGGGCCTGCCACTCGCTCAAAGCCGCCTTCGCCTACCGGCCCTTCTCGACCTCTCCTTTCCTAGTGCATGAATTCCTTGTCTTTCTGTCTCCCTCTTCTTCCTTCTTTGCAGCTCTTGTCATTTTTGCTTCTGAGACCGTCTGTCCCCACGCAGCTGCGTTTCTATTTTTCACGTACATTTTCACTACACCCACCGGGCTCTCGGAAAGAGATAAATCAAAGTATTATTTTTGTAAAAATAGCAAGACGTGACTAGAACGTGATTTCTTATTTTCAGTTCTTTTTCTTTTTGTTCGTCCGCCGTTTCCTCTCTGTTGACTTACCCCCCTTGTCTCACTGCTACCTTGCGACCTTTCGATTAGTGCATTGTGTCATTTTTGGCTAGGCCTTGCTCCCCCCTGCATCAGCGCTCTGCTCCCTCTCCTTACGGCTCACTTAGCCTCTTTTTCGTTCCTTTTCTTTCGAGTTCCTTCCTCGTGCACCATCGTTCCTTCTCTTCTCTCTCTGGGAAGGTGCCGACGATAACTGTTCCTTTCACCAGCCCGGTCTTTCCTTATACTCGTTACGATACCCTATCCTTTCCATTGCCAAACCTCAGTGCCTTCCTTTCCCCGGTAGACATCAGGCTCGTCTTTGCACATCGTGACGGGTCTGTTTTGCCCTCTCTTTTCCCTCCCTCTCCTGCCACCCCGTGTCCCGACCCTCCACGACTCCGCTTGCGGCACTTGGACCTCTCGATTGGTCTCCTTCGACCTTTTTTTTCTTGTATTATACAAACACTTGACGCCCTCTTTTTGCCTCGTTCCTTTCTGGTCCTGTTTTGGACGCCTCTCGACTACTTCGGCTTTGTCGAGTGTCGAGTTTTGATCGTTGTGGCCGGAGCCGTGACAGGATTTTTTGGACCCTTTTGATTTCGACAACCTGCCTACGCTTTTCTTGCCTTTCCTTTCAAGATACCCTCCGAGATACCCTTTGAGATACCCTTCAAGATACCCTTCGAGATACCCTTCGAGATACCCATCGAAAAACGCATCGATCCACAACTCGGACACCTTTCGATCCCTTACGAAATCTTTCTGAGAGACTCGATAAAATTCGCCGTCTGTCTCTGCATTCTCCTCCTGTAACGCCCACCCAACGATAACAGACAGCCTACAAGCGCCCACCCGCCCGTCTCTACGACACACCGGATACCGTATTGCTCAGTTCGAATGTACCGTGTTCAATATGAATAAACTCGCGAACCTCAACATGCGTCACTGGTCCGACAGGATAAACCCCAACTTTAGCATGTCGAACCGGCCTCCTAACATGCCCGGTCCAGCCATGAACCCACTGCAGAAGTTGGCCCACCAGGGTGCCGCGAATGCGTCGGCGACGTCTCTTAACCAGGTTGGCATGACCGTGAACACGCCCGTATTCTACTCCTTCAATGTCCCGTTTGCTTCCGACCTGGCCGGCCCCGATACCGAGGACATTTTGCACGCTACCAAAGATGCAGTCCTTCGTTGGACGCACCCGGACAGTGCCCCGGATGACGTGCCTGTCCATGAACTGCCTGTCCACGCGAACAACCTTGTGGACCTGGGAAACCTCTGCGACCAGCTTGCTGCCAAGAATGAAATCGAGGCCAACATTATAACCTCTGTCCCCAAGAATGCCAAGTCCCAAGTTACGACGGTCTGCCTGGTAGGCGCGCCCGATTCTGTCTACCGTGCCCACGAGACTATCTTGAACGAAACGCCTCTTGCTCTTGTACGTTTGCCACTATCCCCGAATTCCCGATCTAGTTGCCATTGACCACAAGTAACATTTCGTTTCACGTTACTAACTGTTGTCCTTCTCTCTGCAGCGCTGTACGACCGTTGATATCAGTGGTGACATGGTGGCCGACCTCATTGAAGGCACGTTGAAGAAAGCCGTTACCGATACGCTCGACAACATCTCAAACTTTTGCGGCGTTGACATTTTCCTCCTTGGCCCAAAGCTGACGCCGATCGTGGATGGGCTCAACGGTGACAACGAGCTCCGGCGTGACCAACGATGGAGAGTGGCTATCTACGGAGACATTTTGTCATCGGAACATGCTAAAACCCGAGTGTTGATTCACATTGACAGAATGGTAGGTCATTTGAGCCTCGCTTACTATACCATCCCTGGATTGCCCTTTCTGGGACCGATGTCGTGTCAGAAGCTAACGCTGTACCTTTTACTCAGCTCGGCCGCGTTTACGACGTACTGCGGTTGGACACCAACTTCCACCAGCCTCTGTGCGGCCGCAACAGAAAGAACATCAAGACGATCGAGTCTTCGACTGGTACTGCCATCTACATGCCTCCATCGTTTTCGACCGTTTTCCGCTATTCGCCCCCGACCGCCCGCCCGCGTGAGCCGAACGAGATCTTCATTACGGGCGAGAGCCAAGACAGCGTTTCGGCCGCGAAGAAGAAGATCCACGAAGTCTTGGGCCGTACCCGCCTCTTTTTGAAGGATATTGTTGTTCCGGCGGAGAAGATCGACAGTATTTTGCTCAGCCGCATGGACAAAGTCCGCAAGATCACCGAGACGAATGGGGCTAATATCCTCTTTCCGGTCCTCGGCTCGAGACAAAACACCGTTCGGATCCAGGCTACCGAGAACCTGCACACGGAGCGGACGGCCCGGGAGTTGATGGCCCTTGCTGGACAGTTCTACAGCGGCTTCTGGGCTATTGCTCAAGCGGATAGCCGCCAGATTCCCAATCCCGCTGAAATTCAATCGATCCTGGGGGAAGTATGTGCCAACTCCGATGCGGATGTCTCGTTCCAGGGCTGGGCATTTAGTATCACGGGCTCCGACGACGCCGTCAAGGCTGCACTGAATGTCCTTTCTATGGTCCCGCTTGCGATCCATCTTCCGTATCAGATCAAGGTCAAGATTGAGCTTGCCAACGAACACAAAGAATTCGTCAGTGGCAAGAAAAACGGCAAAATCAACAAGATCATGGGACAAAGCAACGTGCAGATCCTATTCGAGAGCTTCGGCGAGTACAACTTCAACATTGATGTCAATGCTCAATCGTACGAGTCGATGAAGCAGGGCCTTTCGCTGGTTGAGCAGGAGATGCCCGCGTCCATCTCTTTCCATGTTCCGGACCAGTACCACAAGCGCATTATTGGCATAGGAGGCCAGCACATCCAGCGCATCATGAAAAAGCATTCTGTCTTTGTCAAGTTCTCTAACGCTATGGACCGAGGTAAGATACAAGCCACCGTTTCGCACGCACTTGTTTGCATAAAATGCATGCCTTTAATTTGCTAACGCAGCTGTCATAGGTGGCATTGGCCGAGAAGATGATGACATGCGCGTTGACAATGTGATATGCCGCACCCCTGCTCGGAACGCGCAGAATCTTGAGCTTGTCAAGTCTGAGATTTTGGAGATGGTTGATCGAGTGGATTCGGAGTTTACGTCTCAAATCGTCAACGTCGATCGCCTGTACCACCGTCGTTTGATTGCGCGACTGCCGGAGCTTGAGACTCTTGAGAAGAAATGGAACTGCAAGATCAGCTTCCCCAGCACCGAACAAGCAAGCGATGAAGTGACCGTTACCGGCCCGCAGTGGCAGGTTCCCCTCTGCGTGGACGACTTCCTGGTACGTTCCTTTTCGCGTCCGGATATCACTTTTTACAGCCATATTTTTGATATGTGTATGCTGACTGACCGAATTTAATTAGGGAATGGTTCCTGACAACCATGAGATGGTCTTTGTGCGGAGCTCCGCCCTGATCAAGTATCTAGAGTCTCCGGAGTATGCACACGAATTGGTGCCGAAGCTGAAGAAGCACCATGAGGTTGGCGTCACCGTTCAGGAGAATACCGAGGAGACCACTGAGGAGGGCGAGCCGACCGTGACCATGCTGTGGACGTTCACACGCAACAATGCAGGTGGTCTTCGCGACGCGGTCGAGGTCCTTTATTCACAGCTTGCTACAGCCAACGTCGAGGTGACTGTCGTCAAGGGCTCGATTCCCCGCCCCAAATCTGACACATTTGAAGAATCATTCCAGTACTTTGATTCAAAGCTGCTCCAGCACGCACCGACGACCCTCGGAACAGATTCGCCAACCAAGTCCGCTTTTGGCGATGAGGTGGCCCGCGAGCGCAACACCATCTTTGACCGTCTCCGCAAACCGGGCAGCATGTCGTCGATCTCGTCGTTCCTTGACCGTCGCAAGAACAGCGCACAATCGTCCCACTCCCTTTTCAAGGGTTCGGCCAACGCGTCCAAGACATCTTTGATTAGCATCGAATCGACTCGCAGTTTCAATGCGGACCGCAACCCTTGGAACGACAGCGGTGTCAACCTACCCGATGACGACTCGTCTCCTTGGCCGACCCGTCCTTTCAGCAATGGCATGGACCACCACAACCTGACGATTCCCCAGACGGGCGAGATCACACCTCGCTACAACCCGCGGCAGTCTGCTGACAGCGGCCGCCCGTCAACGTCTCACTCGACCAATTCTGGATACCCTGGTCACATTGGAGCCTTCCGTTAAACCGTGAGAAAGTGAAAGTTGTCAACTTTGATGACGTTTTTCTCAGTTCTGTTGTCATTGCTCTCTTCCGCATATGCGTTCTGCCGTTTGATATTTTTTGTTTATTTCTCGAGTTGTGTTCTCAGCTGCTTTTGTGTTGAGTGTTGATTTTCTCGACTAGAACGCCGCGGGAAATGGAAACCAAAAAAACAGTCGAAAATACCCCTATCCCCATTGGCTGGATATACCCTGGCGCGCAATACCCCAACTCTTCCGGTCATGGATATGGATCTTGTGATGGACGATGATGCATTGCTTTTGTTTTACTCTCATTTTTTTATAAGTTGTGATATCATTTTCTCGCGATTATGGTTGTCTTGCTGGGCACATTGTCATTTTCATTATCTGTACTTCCCATTTTTTTCCCTCTCAGCTTGAGTATTTCTCTCAAGCAAAAAAGAAGCGACGCGCATGATATCCCTATTCTATACCAAAAAAGAGAAGGTTAGATTTGTTCTGATACGAACACCCCAAAGACTATACAGTTTACTTTTGCATACTTGGATGGTGACCTTTCGGTTGGTGCTTTATTTGTGCAGAGTATGATATATGGAAATAGAAAGAGATGGCATAAAGTTGTCATTTACAATGTGCTTCGATACCAGTACAATGACCAAAGAACCGCCGTCTGTCCCCCCAACGACACGCGATTTTACAGCTTGCCTGCTCTCGCTACCGGCGCATCAACCAGGACAACGTCCTGGTACGGCAGACCGAGGAACTGGTACACAAAGTGGAAGCGATCGCTGCCAAAAAAGGGCTCCGCATCGCCGGCATCGTTGGTGACCCACAGCCAAGGCGCGCCATAGGCGCCCCGGTCGAGCGCCTCCGTGGTGGCGGCCGTCAGCTGGTCCTTGGCGGGCTGTGATGTGGCACCGGCGACAATAGCGTCGACGTCGGCGGCGGTGAACAAGGGCTTGCTGTTCTGGGAGCCGGCTTTGAGCGAGGCCTTGCCGTTGAAGCCGGCGGGTGCGGCGCGGAGCTCGGCCTTGAGGATCTCTGGGTCGCGCAGATCGGCGTGCTCGGGCGTCCAAAAGCGGTAAAACAGGTAGTGGAAGGCGGCAACATACGTCTCGGCCGAATAATGACTCTGGATGTAGTGGAGGGCGCGCAGGGCCAAGACAGTGACGGCGCGCTTCATAAAGTCTGGCGGGGCCTGGGTCTCGGGCGCACCGACCCGGGCACAAGACCGTCTAACGTCGTACATGCCATACGCGGCCTTTGCGGGAAGCGAGAACGGCGGTTTGTTGCCAGTCGCCTTGTTAATGGCGCCGAGAAGGATGGGGTGATATCTGCAACGTTAGGTCAGCCATCGTGAGTCGGTGTCTTGGGGGGAGGTTTATAGGTTTTATAGGTTTGGGCATCTCATACACGACCTCTACGTTGTTGGCAGCATAGACAGGTGCATCTTTGACAAGCAAGAGAAAGGCCACGTAGCTGTATAATGACGCTGTTCAAGGGGTGCGAGTTAGCCAACGTGACGTGAGATTTAACAGTTGTGAGTCCAACCCCAAAGTAAAGAACGGGGTCGTGCCGCAACATTAGGAGGAAGATCGATTGTGTTGCGTATGCGACTCACCGACGTCAAGATACGCGTCGATACGGCCGCCCATTGTGGTAGCAGTGTTTTGTGAGGCGGGAGGGAGTGTCCGAGGTGAGTTGGTATAACGAGATGGCGCAAAGAGAGATGCTGACAGACTGAGGTATCATTTGCTGTGTTGCTGATGCGAATTATTTCCAAAGTAGATCGTACATTTCCCCATGTTTTTATGTTCACTGTTTCTAACAACTCTTTAGGAGATGGGTATTAAGCCGCTGTGCGTAGTAGCGCGGGGTGGGGAACCAGCTCCGCAGCACATTAAAAGCCGAGGCACAACGTTAGTAGGGCTGTTTTGGAGCATGTAAGGATTTGTTCACATGGTCGTTTGAAAGTTCGATGTTCAATTGTTAACAGGGCAAAACAATTTTCGGGCTAGACAAGATTTATTACTATCTGTTACGTTATGGACGATTTGTCAGTTAAATTTAATATCGTGTGCCCTTCCAGTGCTCTTCCAGTGTCGGCGGACAGTTGGAACGCATTCATAGCATCCCATTGGACTGTTGAGCAGCTGTTGCGAGAACAAAGCACCAGCAAAGCCGCCTTGCTCATATCGCTGCATCTGATATGGCAGTATGTACTGGCCGCTTGCCGACTAGCGAACATTTCGTAATGTACCGCGGTACTCTTTGCTCCACGATGCTCCGGCTGCCACTGTAGCAAGGCTGCCGACGGCACGACGTCCAGGCGCGGACCTGTAGGCCGCTTCAACTGGGCGTGATGACCATGAATCGGGATTTCACCATAGTTGGCGTGCAGTGAGCAGGGCATGCTGGCTGTACTATGAGGCGTGTGCGGGTCGAGCGCACGACACTACGGCCGCCGTCATCACACTTTGCCAGCCATGCGCGCACGTCGGGCCTCCTCTTCGCGCCGCATCTCTGTCCGTGCCAGGAATTGTTGCCGGTCCACAAACGCGCCCTTGGACTTTCCCGCCACGGCCAGCTCGTCCTGGATACCCTCGCGATCCACAAACCCGGCCCAGTCCATACGGCTCTTCTCCACCGTCGTGAGCTTCTTGGCCTGGTCCTGGGCAGCCTGCAGCTGCTTCTGTAGAGCGGCGCGCTCGCGTGCCTGCAGCCGGGCGGCCAGACCCAGGTCGAGATCGGTACGGGCGCCCACCTGGACGAGCGACGGGTCCAGGATCGGCTCAAACACGGAGCGAAATGCCTTGCGGGGTGGCGGGCGCATGGGCTGGTTGTCGCTGTCACCTCCGTCGCTCTCGCCTTCCTTGCTCACAGCCACAATCTCGACATTGTCGGCGCCGACCTCTTCTAGGTATAACTTGGCCTCGGCCGAGTCGCGTGCGACAATCTTTTCCTCCGTATGCACCTGGCCGGCAAAGTTGTACGTGCGCTTGATCTTGATCATTTCTGTGCGGCCCGAGGTCGTCGCCGTGTCCTTGCCATCCGTTTCCGTCTCGGTCTTTTCCTTTTTGCCGTCGTTACGATCCCCACCTGCTGCTGCAAACATGGCTGCCGAGGCGAGCGACGAAAGATCCGGCTGCTGCTGCGCCCTGACCTCGGAACCACTACTTCCTCCACCGCCCATCATCTGGCTGAAGATTGCGTCGACATCGACCGTGACCGGGCCTTGGACAGCCGCAGCTCGCCGTTCTGCTTTCCTACACACTGTAAGTATCCATAACCATGGCGACCTCCATCATACGGCCGGGGCTGTACTCACTCATTTGCACGCTGGTTACGTGTCTTTACAAACCCGCCCACGCCGCCGTCGCCGTCTTCGCCGTCGCTGTCCTTGTCTCGCCGCCTCCGCTTCTTGCCTTTGCCGATGATTGCCTCGTCGCCCGAGTTTTCAAAACCCGCATCTTCTGCCTCCATATCCCCGTTGGTGGGCTTTCCTGCCCGCTGGCCGGACGTCGTCGCGTTGGCATCATCGTCGTCGTCATTGTCATCGTCGTCCGAGTCGGCCGCGGATGCGTGGTCGGGCACGTTCTGTGGCGCAAAGTCCGAGTCTTCGGACGATGCATAGTTTTCGTCATCCATGACAACGTCGGCGGGAGGTATGGCGGCGTCGGTCCGCTGGTGGGTTGTGATGTGGTGCAGTTGTGTTAAGTTTTTTTTTGGAGGACAGCCTTGGGAGCTCAGCCGCGTCGCGTTCTATACGAGTATTAAAATGTTTGTCAGAAAGGCGCTTTGCTTCAGCGCACACCCGCCACATCCCCGCTAGCTGCGCGACCCACTTTTAGGCTAATGGGTGCTGCAGCCTTGCGCCTTCCTTGCAGGTGCCAAAAGCGGAGCTGCCCCTTCCAATGCCAAGAACCCCCTGCGCGAGCCGTGCCTTCCCTGTCTTCGACGCCAGCTTTCCTTAAGCACTTTCCCTTTCTGAACCAACAGAGCTGCTTCCACGAGCGACGACGACGACGACGACGACGACGACGACGACGACAGAAAGGAGGGTCGACCAGCACAGCACTGGCTCCTCCTACGCGACACTCGGCCCGTCGACCTCCGATTGCGTGGCACCATCCTCACCAGGCCGTCTCTCTTTTTGCCGCGAGGCAGCCTTGAGCCCTGGTAACTGCAAAATGCGATGCTCCCACTCCTCGACATAACATAAAGACGCGATTTCTCCGTTTGTCTCAACGAACCCTACGTCGTGCAGAGTACATAAGCACACGCCCACGTCCACGCCATGGCCACGGTACAGGACCGCGTCCGCGGGACGGTGCAGTCGCTCTTCCTCAGCGACGTGGAGATGGGCAAGAAGGACGACGACCACCTGCGGCCGCGGACGGGCAGCAGTAGTTCTGGCCATGGGGCCTCATCTGTCCTTCACTCGGTGCGTGTGCATCCGCGCAAGCTCCTAAAGCGGCTGGCAATCGGCGTGTTGGCCTTGCTTGCTGTCTACCTATTTGTCAAGAACTTGCCAAGCGACTTGCCGGTTCGCGACCATCGTCGGCCTGTTTACCAGGACGCGACACAGCCACGTGGGCACGACCGACAAAAGTCTCCGCCTCCTCCACGTCCGCCGCCGCCGCCGCCGGAGCATCCAAAGGCCCAAGCGCCGCCCTTTAATGACCGCCTCGGCAACCTCAAGGCGCCTGAGGTCCCGCCATCCGCGCCCGTCGCCCCCGATGCAGCCCCTCCCCAGCCGCGCGCCTCTGCCGTAAGCCCAGCAGTCGGCTATTACAACGGCCAGCTGCGCTTCCTTGAGCTCGCCGGCAGCCTCCGCTCGATCAGTAGCACCCACGGCTCGTTCAGGGTCAACAAGAACGTCCTCTTCGCCGCCGGAAGTCTGAATAGCATCGCCACGCTGCTGCCGCTGGCCTGCCAGATGGGCACCGAGCTGCGCAGCTATGTGCACTTTATGGTGATGAGCAAGAGCGAGATCAGCCTTGCTGCTCTGCAGCAGATTCACGGCATAGACGCCTCGTGCAATATTTTCTTCCACGATGCACGGCCCGAGTACGCCTCCATTTCGACGGATGAGCGCATGGAAAACGGCGTCGACGTCGCCATGTCCCATGTCCAGCTCTACATGCACCCGCAGGCCATTATCATTGACGGCACCAACGCCGAGGAGACCTTTTTCAAGGCCGGCATGCGAACCCACGCCAAGTCTAGCCACACCACGCTCATCGAGCTGCCCAAGCGCGCGCCGCAGCGGCTAGCCTGGCTCACCAAGCTCGACAGCGCGTCTCTGTCCAGCTGGAACAAGATCAGCATCGACATCCTCATCCACGCGTATCCGGGCGCTTCGGGCAGCCTGATCCGCCTGCTCAAGTCGCTGAGCGGCGCTGATTTTGGTGGCGGCTCCGTTCCCCACGTCACCATTGAGCTGCCGCAAAAGATAGACCCGCCGACCGTGGAGTTCCTCGAGTCGTTCCGCTGGCCGCCTGCCGGGTTTGCCGACGCGTCGGACACGAAGCAGCTTTCGCTGCGCCACCGCATCCCCAAGCATGGTGTCAGCGAGGAGGAGAGCTCCGTCCGCTTCCTCGAGTCGTTTTGGCCGACGCACCCACAAGACTCCCATGTGCTCGTGCTGTCACCTCAGACGGAGCTCGCGCCCGACTTTTTTCACTGTAAGCGCTGCCTTCCAACCTTTTCTCTGTCCATCTCCTGTTGCCTCGTATCTATGTCTAACGGACTCAGACATCAAGTATGCCCTGCTCGAGTACCGCTACTCGAATCCGGCCCTGCTTCAAGAGTGGGACAAGCGTCTTTTTGGTATCAGCCTCGATCTGCCGCGCACTGCCTTGGACGGCTCGACTCCGTTTGTGCCGCCAGCACCATTGAAAAAGGGAGATACGACAGAGGCGGCCGCTGCCTCGGTGGCCGGTACCTCGGCCGATACATCCGCCGACTCCTCGTTCCTCTGGCAGGCCCCCAACAGCAACGCGGTTCTTTTCCTCGGCGAGCGCTGGGCCGATCTGCATCGGTTCATCGCCCAGCTGCTCGCGACCCAACGCATGGCCGAGCCCGAGTCCAAGTCTCATGCTGAACAACCTGTCAAGCGCGTCAGCAAAACCTTCCCCGCCTGGCTCGAACATGCCCTCCAGCTCTGCCAGGCCCGCGGCTTCTGGACCCTCTACCCCAGCTCCACCACCGCCAGCGCCCTCGCCACCGTCCACGACGAGCTCTACAAGCCGCCCGAGGAGTACGAAGAGGACGTCCTGGCCGACGCGGCCGCGGCCGGTAGCAACCCGCACTGGACCGGCTCGGACGAGGTGCGTCTGGGCAGCAAGACGCTGCTCGAGGCGCTGCCACACCGCGGTGGAACTGCTACAGGAGACACCACCGGCCTTGCGCCCTTCTCGGACCTTCCGCTGTTGGCATGGGACGGCAAGTCCGTCACGCTAGACGAACTCAACGACCAGTCCATCGAGTACGCGACGCACTTCCGCCGCACTACGGGTGGCTGCAGCGAGGGTATGCTGGCCGTGCTGCTACCGGAGACGCTGTTTTGTAACGACATGGACGACTAGTGTTTTCTCTCACTTTTATTTCTCTCCCTTTGTGTTTTATCTCACTCTTTTTAACTTTACTTGAGCAAAAGGATACATGACTGGATGATCTGTCAGGAGGCGATATCTTTTCTTGCTTTTTCCGCCCTCGCTTTTCAGCCTGGCTTTTCAGCCCTGGCTTCTCTCGCCGATTCATTTTGTATTATCTTCTTTCTTCATCTCTTTTTTGTTCATTGCGCAACACTGTAACGGTAGAATACTGAGCGGATCTAGGAACATAGACTTATTTGATTTGATTTTGATTTTGATTTTATTTCATCCAATCATTCGTATCGCTAAGAAGGCAAGCAGGTATTCATAAGATATAATACAATAGATATAGGAAACAAATCTCGCGACATGCTGCTGACATGCCGCTTTAGTTCTCGCTTATCCGGTTTATAACCAAAAGCGTCACGCACGAACCGAGAATGGCGAGCGCCACGGCAGCCATGATCTGGAGGGACACTATATTAGTAAGGGAACCTGAGGGATACGTATAGGAATGGGTACACGCACCGACTGCGTCTTCCAGCCGGACTGGACGATAGCCTGCCGACGGCTGTATTTGTTGACCGTTTCTAGAGGTGTTAGCTGTGCCGCCAGTGTTTGGGGGCGTCCGTCCGGTCACGTTGTAGACGTACTGATGTAGTTGGCGACGCCCACGAATAGAGTCAGAACCGAAAGGAGCCAGAAGATGATGCCAAGCGGCCGGGCCATCCGCAGTTCCAGTGGTGACGGTTGGTTTTTGAGATGGAACGACAGGACAATGGCTACGGCCACAACGGCCATTGTCACGGAAAGGCGGAGGTACGAGAGAAAGGCTATACTGTTGTGTTAGTTTCAGGAAAGCGCCACGCAGACTTGAGTGATGGCAACAACGTCAACATACTTCGTTCGTTGGCCAGGCCGTCGCGCGCCTAATTCCGAATTGTTAGCGACTTTGCACACCGGCTAGATCAAGGTCACCCAAGGCCACCCAAGGCCACTAAACGCCACGCACATCACTACTTGTGTTTTCGAACAGCAGAGGCCCAAACAACGGCCAGATCCAAAAAGCTGCCTCGCCGGCATAGCCGTACGAGCCCAGCTCGCCGACCTCGACGGGTTTCGTCATCGCCGCCAACGGTGCGCAGCAACCGTCGTCGTCTTCGCCATCGCCATGGCCGTGGCGGTCAGTGCGCTGCGTCCGCTCGTCGTCGTCGTATCCAGAGCTTTCATCGCTGTCGTCGTCGTCTTCGTTGTCGCCTCTTCGGTTGCGGTGGGCATGGTCTTCCACGTCGGTCCACGGCGCGGCTGCGGCCGTATGGGCGTGGTGGTGCCGACCATGTTGCTTGCGTCGCGGTGCGACACGGGGCATTTCGAGAGGCATCGCGGTGTTCAAGTGAATAAATACAGGCGAAACGTGGATGTCTCGTTGGCGTATTGCGTTCCTCCGATGTTCGTTCGTGGCCGGGATGGAGTCGAGACGAAAGCGGGTAGCGGAACGTGAAGTTCAGCCTGCTCGGAATGACGCCTTCTTACTCGCTGATGAGCTTTATGGAACTCGTGCTTGCTGTAACGGCTCAGGCAGTTGCTCAGTGGTATTCTGGCGTACAATCGAGCTTTTGCTGTTTTAGGGAGGTCCAACCAGCCAATGGCGGCAACCGCGTGGGGTGAAGCGGGGAAGGCGCGATTGTGTTGCCAACCTCGATTTTTTTTTGTGGCCTGCAAGTAAAGAGACTAAAGGAGAATGCGGCGCAGACAGTATTTCGTATTGTATCCAGTGTTTACGGTAATATTGACTTTTGCGCAACACGACAACACGTCAAAGCAACGTCGAATAATCCAAAGACAAAACTGCGCTTTCGTTTGGAAACGTAGCTGCTCCTTTGACTGGTAGCCTCGTTATTCTGCCGCATAAACTACGAGATATGGCCGCTAACACAACTAGCTGCAAAAAGCTTCCAGCCAACAAAGACAATAACGGGAAGGCTCGACTGACGCTGCAGTTTTCCTCCCAAGGATAGCACTGTCTTCTGCGTCGCAAGCCTCCCCAAACATATCAATAATGAAGTGTAGACCGGGATGCTCAAAGTCAGCATCATGGCCAGCAAAAATATACATCCATCTGTCTGTCAACATGCAGCCCACTGGTTCACCGCCCACTTTCCTCGGTGTAATTACAGAGAACGACAGACAACAAACTCGGTAGTGGCTTAAGATAAGCCGAGCTCCCGCCTCTTTTTGCGTTTTTTTTAACCCTTTGGGGCAAGCGAATCCGCGCTAGCGCCACCCTCACGGCTAGTACGAGGTATGCTGTCTAGGAGGAAGAAATAAGGAGAGAAAACTTCGGCGGCGAACAAGGCCTCGCCGGCCAGAACGGCGCCAAACTCGAGGAGGGCGGTGGCCAGGCTCTTGCTTCCTCAAAGCTTTATCGGTTGCACTTGCACATCGCAGCGGCGATTTAGTCACGTAGGGAAAGTACGATCGAGTGACCCACTGCCTTTTTTTCGTTTCTTACCTTATGCGGCACTCCGTTTGTCGTACGAATGTACTATTTTTCTTTTTCTCTCGTGCCCGCTGTGTGACTCCGTCATCCTGCAAGTCTCTCGCTGACCTTACACAGCCTGCCTCGCAGCGTCGCATGGGTTCGGCCACTTTTGTCACGCCTGTCATCTGGACGCCTTTCTTTTGACCTTCTGCAGATTCTTAGTCTAGTTTCCGCCGATACTGCTTTTTTAAAAATTGGGGTATTTTTTCTGCCGTGTTTTCCTTGGATTTGATTTCATCCCACATATTGTGTTGTCTCTCTCTTTTTTTCTTCCTCTCATGACCTCGACCTCTACTGTTTGGAATACAGTTGACGGAGCTCATCGGACATTTACCCTCTTCTTCCCCCCTCCCTTTCCTCGCGGGTCACTGTTGCTCTTCTTCAACTTATTTACTACAAACCCTTCCCCCCTCGAACACAATGACACCCAGTCGGTCGATACCAACCGGCTCGCCGACACCTGGCGCCCACCAGGAGTCCATTGCCGGCCTCGCCTCGTCTTTTGCTGCCTCCCTGGCCGATCCTTCCCCATTGGCCCAGGAAGTGCTCGCCCGCGACATCGCTGAGCTAACTCCGTCCGAAATCGAGGCCGAGAACCGCGCAGCTGCCTTGGCCCCCGCCTCGTACCACTCGGCCGGCATTGTCCCCTACGCCGACGGCAGCCAGGATGATATTGACACCGACTCTGATATCGACGGCCCCGGTTCCAAGGGACCGTACCTCTACCGCCGACCCAGCGCCATCGCGTATGGAAACACTCGCCCCGTCCTCGGCGTGGCTCCTACAAGCGGCCCAGCTCTGAGCAAGGTCGAGAAGCTCAAGTCTCGCGAGGCGGAACGCAGCCTCCTCCGTGACAACCACCTGCTGCCACCCAAGCACGTCTCGGCAGCCGCGGGCCCGGGTCACGCAGGATCCAGCTCTACAGCCGCTGGTGCAGACGGCCGCGAGCCAGGTTTGTTCACCCGTGTGTACAAGAGCGTCTTCAGCACGCGTCGGCCAAAGGACACGGCCGAGGAGGAGCGGCGGCTACAGGGAGACGGTGCTGGTGGCCTGCCGGATGAGCGGACAGCACTTCTCGAAACTGCGCCGTCAGCACCCGAGTTCGACGGTTCCGAAACGGGGCCCCACCTGGACGAGCAGTGGAATGCCGCTGTGGCCGCCGGCCAGATCCATACCACGTGGCAGCGCGAAGCCAAGACGATTGCCGTGTACTCGCGGTCCCTCATCATCACATTTTTGCTCCAATATTCCATCAACATCACAGGTGTCTTTGCCGTCGGCCACATTGGCAAGGCCGAGTTGGGAGCCGTCAGTCGTACGTTTTGTTGTGCCCTTGGCTATCCTGTCTTCCGACATCATCCACAGTATACTGACCAGTCCTAAACCAGTTGCCACAATGACCGCCAGCATCACGTTCTACGCGCCCTGTCAGGGCCTCGCTACATGCCTCGACACGCTCTGTTCTCAGGCCTACGGCTCGGGCCACAAGTTCCTCGTTGGCTTGCAGCTGCAGCGCATGTGCTGCTTCCTTCTTGTTCTATGCATCCCGCTCGCCGGCATCTGGTTCTTCTCAGAGGAGATTCTTGTGTCTCTGGTTCCGGAGCCGGAGATTGCTGCTCTTGCCGGCCTGTACCTGCGCGTCCTGGTCATCAGCATGCCCGCCAGCGCCGTTTTCGAGTGCTCCAAGCGGTACATGCAGGCCCAGGGCCTGTTCACGGCCAACACATATGTGCTGCTGATTGCGGCGCCCATGAACATCTTCCTCAACTGGCTGTTCGTGTGGCAACTTCAGCTGGGCTTTATTGGCGCCCCTATCAGCGCTGTAATCACGCAATGGACCATGCCCCTGCTCTTGCTCCTCTATGTCTACTTTGTCGATGGCGCGCAGTGCTGGGGCGGCTTCACGTGGCGGATTTTCTCCAACTGGGGTCCTATGATCAAGCTGGCTCTGCCGGGCATGATCATGGTGGAGGCCGAATTCTTTGCCTTTGAAATCCTGACCCTCGGCGCTGGCCGCTTTGGCTCCACCACGCTGGCCGCCCAGAGTATTCTTGTCACCCTCACATCTACCACCTACCAGCTGCCCTTCCCCATGTCCGTGGCCGCGTCCACACGCATTGCCAACCTCATCGGCGCCAAGCTGCCCATCGCAGCCAAGACAAGTGCTAATGTGGCGACCGCTGCCGGCGTGGGCCTCGGTCTCTTCAACTGTCTGTGGGTCTTTGCCTTCCGCTACCAAGTTCCCCGTCTCTTTACCAGCGAACCGGATGTCATTGAGCTTGTGGCTCAAGCCATCCCTGTCGTCGCTGTCCTCCAGATCTTTGACGGCACAGCGTGCGTGGCCAGCTCTCTCCTGCGTGGTGTTGGCCGCCAAGAGATCGGCAGCTATGCCAACCTGGCCGCCTACTACATTGTGGCTTTACCAATCTCGTTCGCCACGGCGTTTTCTCTCGGATGGGAGCTTCGCGGTCTGTGGGCCGGTGTCGGTATTGGTCTTTTCCTTGTCACGGTTGCCGAGTACACCTACCTGTACAGCTACAACTGGGACCGTGCGGTGGAGGAAGCCGAGCAGCGGAATCTGTCTGGTTAGGTGATTGTGGCAGCGATGCTTTAAAGTATGAGATGTCGCCGGGCTTGGAGCTTCCTTTGTATTTGGATGGCCAAACGGCGTCAGCACACATCAATGTTTGTTGTAAACATGGTGTTTTTCGGTTTGCTGATATTTCTGTCTTTGCTTCTGTTTTGGGCGTTTAAAGGTTGTCATATAATAGCGTGCTCTCAACATTTGAGCGATGTAATTTCATCAACTTTGACCATTTTCTTCCTCAGGGTAGTCGTGTCGTATTTGTTATCATCAATCCTGCCTTTCGTGTATAAGTTACGCATCATTGTCATTGGCTGTGTCGCCCCCTCTTTCCCCAAGAGGCAGCTTTTGGTTGATGTCACATGCTCCACTCCCCAATTCCACCCTTCCTCACTGGATTTTATGCCTGTAGCAGGTCAGGACCAGACCAGCGTCATCAGCCTCCTTCCCCAGTAAAGCTTGCCCCGCTAAACCTAAAACAGGAAACCACTCTGGGCCTGGTCTGTTCCTTCCCTATCGTCGCGCGCCTTCCGCTTCCCGCTTCCGTCTGCACACAAACCACCACCCCTCTCTTTCCTGCTGTGCCAGCGCAACTTCCCCGTCTTCAGGCAGTCTTGAAACCGCGCCCCGCTCAACAAAAGCTTCTCGCAAACTCAAAACCGAAACCACGCATCTGCCACCCGTCTAAGCCGCGATTTGCGTTTTTCGTTGCGTCGTATTCTCCTTACACCTCTTCTCTCTCTGCGACCTTCGAATTGTCCGTTTCTGAACCCCCTTTGCTCCCTTCGTCCTTAGCTGCACCAGTGTTCCAACCCATCCTTCACCGCCAACGATTGCACAACATCCCCTCTTGAATTGCCTCTTAATCCAGAAGCGCGTGTTTGGACCACACCGTCTCGAATCTCTCCTTAGAGCGCCTTTCTCTGTTTTGCCTCGACGCAACTGCCTTCTCCCTAAAGCTCTGTCCAGCTCGTCTCACCGACTTGAACGCCGCGTCGTTGCGCGCCGCCCAACTGCCCAAGATGGGTATCTCTATTATCCAGATACAGGAGCAAGGTACGCAGTCTTCTTTACTCTTTCTTAAGTCAACCCAACACTAATACTGGCTCCTACAAACAGTGATAATAGACACGATCGAGAATATCACAAGAGGCGACGTGAGCAACCCCCCTCCACAAAATATCTTCGTCGGCCTTGTGAATCATCTCCTGATTCAACGTCGGCCATCCCGACCAGCGGCCTTGATTTAGGACTTTGTGTGACCGGCTTTGCTAACATATGGGAACCCCTACAACAGTGGAAGGTACTCGTGCTCGATGAGACGAGCAAAAAGATCATTTACAATGTCGTCAAGGAAGATGACATCCTCAACAAGAACATTGCCAGTACATCTACCCCAGTCTAGAAAATTGGATGAAAAAGAGACGATTGCGTGGCCGCTAACAGATCCAAAACAGACGTTGAGCTCATCGAGGAGCGCCGTGAGATGAATCCCACCATGGACGCCATCTACATCCTCTCACCGCAGCCCCATATCGTCGACTGCTTGCTGGCCGACCTGGATCGCAAACGATACCGTCGGGCGTTTTTGGTGTGGACGAGCGTCCTGGATCCCAAGTTGCAACAACGCATCGACGGCGCGCCCGCTGCCCGCCAACAAATTGCCGGTTTCGACGTCCTTTCCATCGACTTCTTCCCGCACGAGTCCCACCTCGTCACCTTCCGTGACCCCTGGAGCTTCCCCATCCTCTTCCACCCCGGCTGCAACGACCTTGTACGGCAACATATGGAGGATCTGGCACAAAAGATTGCCAGTGTTTGTATAGCAGCAGGCGAATATCCGAAAGTACGATACTACCGGCCAAAGAACCCGATACACGAGGCCAGTGTTTTGTGCACGCACTTGGCGCGCTTCGTTCAGCAGCAACTCGACGACTATGCCCGATGGAACCGCGACTTCCCGCCACAAACCAACCGGCCACCCGGCATTCTCGTCATCACTGACCGGTCTATGGATATCATGGCCCCTCTCGTCCACGAATTCACATACCAGGCCATGGCCCACGACTTGCTACCCATCAAAGATGGCGACAAGACGACATTTCATGTCACCTTCAACGAGGGCGAGGCAGGTCAAGAGGAGAAAGATATGGAGCTGCAGGAGAAGGATACTGTCTGGGTCGACAACCGCCACCGGCACATGAAGGACACTATTGACAAATTGATGGGCGACTTCCAGAAGTTCCTCGACCAGAACCCGCACTTTACAAACGACAAGGGCGACGCAACCAACCTCAACGCCATCAGGGACATGTTGGCTGGTCTCCCCCAGTTCCAGGAGATGAAGGAGGCGTATTCTCTACATCTTACAATGGCGCAAGAGTGCATGAACAAGTTTCAGAACAACAAGCTGCCAGACGTCGCATCAGCTGAGCAGACACTGGCAACGGGGCTGGACGAGGATTACCGCAAGCCGCGCAACATCCTGGACCAGGTGGCTCGACTGCTCGATGATGAGTCCATCACGACGGAGGATCGCCTGCGTCTCATCATGCTGTATGTTCTCTACCGCAACGGTGTCATCCCAGAGGACATAAACCGCCTGCTCGCCCACTCGAACCTACCCAAGTCTCTCTTCAACACGATTGTAAACCTGGAACTACTCGGCGGACGTCCAGTGCGTGGACTGAAGGAGACCGTACAGCCACAACCGCCCGTCTTCCCGCCGGATCCTAAAGGACCGGCACAAAATGGCAACGAAGAAGAGTACTCCCTCTCCCGCTTCAACCCTACGCTCCGCACACTACTGGACAACTTGTGTCGAGGACAACTCGATCCACTCGTCTTTCCCTACGTCAACCCGCCACTCGATCCCAACGGAGACGCCATGCTAGCCCAGAATTCCCTACGCGCCGCTAAGCCTAGCTGGGCCGATGCGAACCGCCGTGTACCTGACAACCGCCAGCGCATCTTTGTCTATATGGCCGGCGGTGCGACATTTTCCGAAGCACGCGCATGCTACGAAGCGTCAGCCAAGCACAACCGCGACATTGTCTTGGCAACCAGCCATATGCTGACGCCACATTTGTTCTGCCGCCAAATAGGCGACCTGTCAGCCAACCCCCGGCAGCTCGATATCCCGTTGAGCCGTCCCAAGCCCAAGGCACCGGCTCACTTGTTTGAGCGGGAGGCACCGACGCCGCCACCTCAGCAACAGGCACCGGCGCAGGGCCAACGGCCTGCGCCTGGTGGTGCTGCAGCTGGCCGCCGGCAGGTGGGTGGTGCCGGTGTCGGGGGTATTCCTAGTGGACCTCGCCCTCCTGTCCAGCAGATGGGCGCCATGACGCTCAGCAGTGGCGGTGGTGCCGGTGTGGGCCGGACCCCAGCACCACCCGTGGCCGCAAGCGGTGGCTCCGACGGGAAGCTTCACAAGGCCGACAAGGACAAGAAGAAACGAAACATTTTTGGCTTGAAGAAATAAAAACAAGCAGAGACAGAAGAATCAAAAGCTAGGCACTAGTGACATTACGTCGAACTGGCAGCTGCTTTGCTTTTGTTTTCTTGACATTGTTCATTTGTAACGTGGTAACTAGCACATACAAGACACGCCACGATCTAATAATTTGAATACCAAGTTCCAAAAATTCTGTGGCTCTTTTGTATCATGCATATACTATGTCCTTTTCTTTCCACGACATGATACATTTTCCAAGGAGACAGCTTTTACTTATGTGCAAATATGCACTTTCTAACAGCATATAATTATTAATTGAAACTGTGAAATTAACGAATCGAATACAAGCCAAGAAGTACCAATGTACGAATCGCACGAGACAACGATGCTTTCTACTGTCGCTGGTTGTTGGACTTTTTTCACGAAGTAACATGTCGAATATGGTATCCTCAGACACATCACGAATGCAAAATTATCATCAGGCGCCGCCAGGTTTATATTTCTCGTGATTATTTCATCTTCATCCATTGCTAACATTTGCTGACCGATGGACTTTGCATAGTGGTAAAATTGGGAAACTCCTGCCTCGACGACTTCCCCATGGCGTCCCATTATGTGTATTTACGGGACCCCTTTCTTATTGTCGTACTTTACACGCACACGAGAGTTTTTGATGCAAGGCGACCAGATAAATAAAAGGTTTCAAAAACTCAATCCCTGACAATGCATGCTTGCCCCAAGCCCTAAAGCTTGCCACAGAGTACATAAACACACACGCGCGGTTCATTTACAAGGGGAGCTCTATGACCTTCTGTAACCGATTCCATGAGGCGGTGGTGGCATGCCGCGGCCATCGTTAAAAGGGAACGGCACACCGTCGGGGGGTGGCCCCTGGAAGTTCATGCCAGGTGGCGGCATGAAGCCACCTGGTCCCGGAGCCTGGTTAAAGAAGCCTGGTGGCGGCGGCGGGATGTTGCGGGGTTGACCCGAGGGAATGCCGTCCGGCGGGAACGGCCCCGATGGCGAGAAGTTCGGCGGCGGGAACATGCCGGCCATATTGGGAGGCATGTTGATCATGTTGGGCGGCATGTTCAGCATAGAGGGTGGCATATTGGGCGGCATGTTCGGGGGCATATTCGGAGGCAGGTTGGGCGGCAGATTCAGCGGCATGTTAGGTGGCATATGCTGCATGTTGGGCATGCCCGGCATACCCTGCATATTGGGCATATTGGGCATGTTTGGCATGTTGGGCATGTTGGGCATGGCCCGGTTCTGCGGGTTGTTGGGGTGGTTCGCGCTTAGGCCAGGAGGTGGAATCATGGGCTGCTGCGGCCCTTGCTGTTGCTGTTGCTGTTGCTGCTGAGGCGGGCCTTGCGGAGGAGGCAGGCGGCCGCCTCCACCACCACCACCGCCACTACCATCAGCACGACCACTACCCTGTTGTTGCAAGAACGGCGGAAGAGGCCCGTGCATGTTATGCTCGAGACCTGGCGGTGGGGGCCGCTGGAGAATCTGAGTTGGCTGTTGAGGTGGCCGGCCCTCGGCCTCCTGGCGATGGAACTGCTCATCGGCAAACATTCCCGGCATTCCCTGAGGAGGACGCATTGGCTGTTGCTGCGGCTGCTGCTGCTGCTGCTGATCCTGTTGCTGCTGGCGCTGGATGGCGAGCCGTTCGCGCTCGCGTGCAAAGTCGGCCATTTTGGCCTCGCGGTCCGGAACTGATGGGATATTAACCTGCTTCTGCGGCTGCGGTATGCGCATTACGGAGTCCTCGTTTCTGCGCGGGCTGGGCCCACCGCTCTGCATAAGCTTCATAAGGAACTCGGTCTGCGAATTTGGTGTGCCCATGCTTGGCCCAGAAACGCCAGGGCCGCCGGTTGGCGGGCCCGTGCGAGGATGGCCGTCCTGGCTGGCTGCCTGCTGCTGGCGCATGAACAACAGTTCCTGAAGCATCTGTTCAGGGCGAGCTGACCCCGAAGGAGACTGGCTGGACATGGGTTGTTGGCGCTGCATCAGGAGCTCTTGCAGGCTCTGTTGAGGCCCAACCTGTGGCGCACCGCCTAGGAAGCGGGGATCACTACGCCGGTCCGCGCCAGGATGGGGCTGACCAGGCTGGCCAGGCTGACCCTGTGGAAAGGGAGGGTCAGGGGAAGTGAGACCACTCCGCTGGCGGCCGTCCCGGAGGAGAGATGGGTTCGAGGCCGAGTTTGGCGATTCCTGGAAGGCGAGACCGGCTCCAGGTGGTGTTGGATTGTTGCTGGGTCCCGGAATGGTCCCAATACCGATACCGGCTGCAGCAGCAGGCGATGTTGTGGAGCTACCAGCACTACCGCCAGTGTGACGATGAAGCTTCTGCAGCAGGACCTGGAAAGCCTCCTTCTCGGCGGCATTGGGCGGTTGTGCAGGCGCTGTCAGTGCGGCAAGCAAGTTTGCGCCACCACCACCAGCACCACCAGCGCCGTCGCCGTCGCCCGCGCCGAGACCAATGCCTCCAACACCACCACCACCTTGCGAGGGCGGCTGGGCCGCAGCAGGTTGCGGTGCAGCGGCGGGCGTTGGCGGCTCGGTCTGGCTCTGCGATGAGAAGAATGAGGTAAACTTCGAAGCCTTGTTCACTTTGTGCTTGTTGGTTGCCGCCGCATCGGCGTCGGAAGGGCTGTTGTCGTCGGTCTTGGTCGACTTGGAGAATTGCTCAAAAAAGCGGTCTCGGCCAGGGTCCACAACTGGAGCCGACGCCGGCTCGCTCCTCCACGTTTTCTTTCCGTCGTTGGCCGCCGAAGACGACGATGGTTCGTCCGGGTTCTTCTGGCCGCCGCCATCACGGACTTTCATTGCGGCCATAAATTTACGCAGATCTTCTGCCGTGTGGCGGCCACCGCCGCCGCCACCACCGCCAAAGTCGGCGAGATCACCGAGATCTCCCCCACTGCCGCCTCCACCGCCAGTTGGCACATCGTCGGCAAATGCAGCCTCTTCGTCCATCCATTCAGGGTCGCGCTCCGTACGCTGGTTATTGAAGTAGTCCCGGTCCCGGTCCCGGTCTCGGTCCCAGCGACGGTCGTACCCGCCACGGTCAGTGCGGTCGTTGCGATCGTTTCGATCGTTCCGGTCATGATTCCTGTTGTCGCGGAAGCTATCGCTGGGTTGGTTGTCGGGGTCACGCTCGCGCCAGTTCCGGGTCCGATCAAGGCGGTCCCGTTGTCCTGTACGGTCGTTGCGGTCGTTGCGGTCGTTATGTCCCCTGTCATCGCTGTTGTTATTGTTGTTGCTGCTCCACGGCGTGCGACCTGGAAGACCGTTGCGGCGAGCGCCATCGTTGTTATCGTCGGCCCCGTCGCGGTCAAACGTGCGGCGTGGACGGTCGCGTCCTGAGACGTCGTTGTCGTCCCGATCCCTCGGCTTACGGTCGTCGCGGCCGTACCGATCCAGGCCTCCACCTCCACCGCCACTACTGCCCGTCCCAGCGCCTCCGCTTCCACCGTTGTGCATGCGGCTGTGGAACCGCTCGGCACCATCGTGGCCAAAGCTCTTACGCGGTTTCACCGTGCTCCAACCGTCATTGTCTTGGTCGGCGTCGCCACGGCGACGGTACTCGGGGTTGCGAGGTTCGCGCGTGTTGGAGCCGCGAAGGTTTCCGCCGCCAAAGTTGCTCGTATTGAGAAAACTAGACGAAGCTTCGGACTGGTCGCCACGCGTGTGTCCACCAAAGCGGTCGCGGCTGTCTGAGTCCCGAAACGGTTTACTGTCACCGTCGGTCTTGTTCCCGAGGGTACGGATAGAGGAGGCCGAGGAGAAATTCATTTTAGGGGGGCGGAGTACGATGTCTTCAGAGTCTAGTGGAGCGCGAGCGCAAGAGACGGGTCAGCTGGGGGTTTGAGGGCACAGCACACGATGCAGAACATGATAAGCGTACTGGAGAGGTTGCGGGGATTGTGCCGGTCGCCGGTCTGGCGCCGGCTTGCCGGGTCGAGGGAGAAGGTGCCCTCATTGGACTTGACGCGGTCTGAAGTTAATGGGCGGTTGCCTGTTGTTTGGGCGCGAGTGTTGGGGTCTGGAACTGGTCTACGATGTAGCCGAGTTAGCAAGAAGGTTCTTGACAAGAAGATGCATAAAGGAAGAACGAGGACCATACCCCATCCATTGGTCTGCGGGAGGCAGGCCGGGCGGCTTGACACATAATGGAGATTGACGAAGCTGGAGCAATGCCTCTGCGGTATATCGAGAAGCCATGGTCACGGTCGCGGGGTACCGAACATTCGGCTAGAGTGACGCGAAAGAAATAACAGAGAGGCAAAGAAATCAAGCACGGGACAGCTGAGAAGTCTCGAGCTGCCGGGGGAAGAAGATCTGCAGGTTTCGAAACCTGACAAGGTGAGAGGACCGAGAAAGGGGCGGGGAAGGTCGTAGAGCTTTCGGGATGCCACGAGACGAGGCCGTGAGGCCAGAGAAGATCGAAACGTCGGAAACGTAGACGATGCTCGGTATACGAGGTCCAATGCAGGAGACAGAGGTAAACAATGAGAACGGGGAGTCGAGAAAATAAACAACGAAAGACGCAAATCAGCGATGGCAAGTTTGGTCGTTGGCAGGTCTCGAAAAACCTGGACTGGAGCGGTGTCGCTTCGGAAATGGACGCCGGTGAGGCACCACGCCCGGTCGCGAGGTCGAAGGCAGGCCACGAATCGAAAGCTTAGCTCGTTGTCAGGCCCCGGTCAGCTTCGACAGACTCGACGATGTAAAAACGCAGAGAGAATTGAGGCTTCGAGGGCGTCGCGAAGGGGCCGCAGTAGGCGCTGCAATTGAAGCGATGCGTGCGAAAGCGCCGTTCTGGAAGAGCCGACACGATAATTCGGATCTAGTGCGTGGGTTTGGGTGAGCTTTGGAGTTTGTGCAGTTGTTGTGTGGACGTGGCTGCGAGGGTTTGTTTGATGTTTGCGAGTGTTTTGTGTCTCTTTGTGTGCGGCTGTCATGAGATGTGCAAAACAGAAGGCGCCCCAGCCTGAAGTAGGAGGCACTGATGACGGCCGTGCTCTGATTCGCCTTTGGGGCACCGTCACGTGCGCCACGGGGCACTGATAGGTGTGAAAGGGCCGCTAATACGGCACACAGTGGGTCGTCTTTGCTCCATTCGCTTGCCTAGGCTTCAATGAGGACAATCTATGAAGCTAAGTATCGTGGCCCTTTGTTCGTTATTTTTCAAAGGGTTTGGGAACGACCCCGAGACCGTGTTTTGGTGTGTGCTCTGATAGTTCGAGTAAAATATTTTTTCATCTTCCTTAATTTGGTACAAAAGTCCCACCTGTTCCTCTATTCAATGATGTACAATAAATCGCTTGACATATGCCCTCAAACGCAAATACAATAGTAAACAACTCCCTTGAGACCAATTAATTCTCCTATCTCTTTCAGACCACGACTTGTGCGGATCCTACACCCCAATGCTTTCTTGGACTCCGTGCACGCTCCACTGTTCGACCCGGTCATGGTCGCACGAGTCCCATAGCCGCTTCAACAGCGCCGGGACGATGCGTGCCTCGTCGCCTTCGTCCGGCACCTCGACGCCGGCTGGGACACCATATGTGCGGTTGGTCGGCTGTTGGCGGTTGTTACTGCTCGCCGTAGCCTGCGTGGCCTCCAGGGCCGTCAGCCAACTCACAATGCCGGACCGCGTGATAAGCGTTGTGCTGCCGCCCGCAATGTCGGACACGCGGCACACCATGCGCAGTATCTGGCGACGCAGTGGGATGCGCATGTATGGGTTTGACGCGACGGACAAAATGGCTTCAAACAGACGGCGCGACCGGAAGAATTCAATGTCGGCGGGCGTGCGAAGGCTGTCAAGCAAGTACGACAGCAGCCAGCTGATCTCCGCATAGTACGAGTCGTCCTCGGAGGGGCCGTCGTGGACGATGTCGTTGACGAGCGGGAAGGCGCGCATACGCCAGACGGGGCCCGCCGTCAGGAATGTGTTGACCTTGGCGTAGAGGCAGTGCAGCGGGTTGCGCAGTACGTCGAGCGCGTGGCAGGTAAAGGACACAATGTGGCTGGGCACGGGCCTGTCGGCCGTGTCCTTGTCGGTCATCCACCCTTTTGTCGACTCGATGAGCTCCGACAGGAGAAGCCAGACCTGGTCTTTCTCGTCGTACGTCGATTCGCGGATCCTGGCAGCCATGTTGGTCAGGTTGACTAGGGCTGCCCGCCGCACGGTGGCGTCGTCCGCCATGAGCAGGCCAATGACGGCGGCTGCGTGGCCGTCGTCCACCAAGTCGTCTGCCGGTCGCGTCGCCCACTTGGAGAGAGCCGACGAGTCAAAGACGCGGGGGGGGGTGATATCGAGCAGGCCCTCAAGCGAGCGCTCATTGAATAGGTTACCTCTCCCATCATCCGCCTTGTGGTTGCTGTTGCTGATCTGGTTTCCTGCGCCCGTCCGTTTGGATGATTCCTTGGATTTGGATAATGTCGCCTGGTTTACTACGGTGCTGGGGATGGGTTTTCGCAGCGTCTCTTCGAGGTGGACTGGCGCCTTTGAAACCCGCTTCATGTCATTCACGACCATGGCCCAAATAGGTACCAGGCCTGCTTCGTCGCCACGACAGAGCTGTAGATAATACCGCAGGAACTGGGCCAGCTGTCGGCTCGTCTCGGGATCTGCGTTGACAACCACAAACTTCATCTGCTCGGCAATGGCCATGGTGAGAGGGTCGAACGCCGCAACGCCATCCGTGAGCTCGTACATCATCTCAATGTACTTGATCGGGCCGTTGGCGCAGCGAACAACGCAGTTGTCCACAAACGCCCAGACGGGGTCGGTCAGTAGGGAGCGCTTCTCGTTATCCGCGTCTGCGCCGTCGTTGTCCTCTCCACGGGGCTTTAAACTACCGACGAGAGCGGCTAGGCCTACCGAGGTGGCGCGCGCCTGGCCTGTTGGCTCCGACAATAGCAGTTGCTGTTCTCGTGCCACAAAGTCCAGCACGTCCCGAATCTTGTCCAGCGCTAGATCGCCCGTGGCCTCAGTGTACACCTTGAGCAACGCTGCAAATGGGGACGCGGCCAGGCCCTTGGCCTTGGAGAACCACTGCATGCCGGGGGAGTAGCCGGCAATAGTTAGCAGATTCTCCAGTTCCATGAGCTTGACGACCTTGTCCTCGGCTGAGCCCTTGTGCCCATCGACCTGCCGGATCACGGCAAAGAGGTAGGAGGATACGTCAAACTTGGAGGTAAGTGCCACCTGCGGCACGACCTCGTAGTACAAGCGCAAAACGCGGCTAGCGGCCTCGCGGTACAGCAGATCGCTGTCCGCGGCTGCACGGTAGGCATTGATTACCTCCTTCATGGGCGGACACCGCCGGCAGAATTCGTCAATCACCCGCCGCTCCGACTCCGTCCACAGCGACTCGAGCGGGTGTTTTTGCGCGGCCTCACGGTGCATACGCAGCGCCGACCGCAGCTTCTCCATGGACACGGCAAGGAGGCGGATGGCAAAGAAGGGAATCAGCTTGGATTTATGAGTTAAGCACCGGCTCAGAATCTTTTGCGACAGGGGCCGGGGGAGGATATTGTCCACAGTGACGGACGTCGGAGGTGGAACACGGGCGTAGGCCGACTTGTGACCAAAATAGTCGGGGATTTCGACGAGGATGGTATTGAAGAGCATGGCGGCGTAACCCACCCACGTCGCCGATATCTTAGGCTCAAACGTGAAGTTCTTGCGCTCGATGTAGTACCACGCGACAAGTTCCGGTGCTGCCTGAAAGATGGAGATGAGCAACTCGCTCTGCCGCGTGCTCGACCACGGCCGCAGGTTCGGCAGAAGGTCGGCGAGAGCAAAGTTGAACACGGGCACCTCGTCGGCAAATTTGTCCATCCAGACAATGCGGTCCAGACCAGCATCCAGCTGAAGATCCTCATCAGGCTCACGGTTGGATGAGGACGACACTGTGGTTACCGTGGTAGTTGCGGCACCCGCATTTGGCTCAACACCTTGGGGGTAGTAGCCGGTCTGATCGCGCAAGACGCCGATGTTCGAGGATGTGCAGACGTGGAGTAAGAGTTGGTGTGCTGTGTCGGAGACCGAGAGCTTGTTCGAGTGGCTGGAATCATCACGTTTCGCTCCAGCTATGCCGTCGTGGGCATAAGTATACAGGCCGGCAAGGCGGATCAGTGTAGCCGCGTTGAACGTCTTGATCCGCGCGGATCGCGGCAGTTTCTTGTCCTTGAGGACGTGCTCACGGAGCGTGCTGAGTATGTCATATACCAGGTACGGTGGATCGTCCTTGATGGTCTTGGTCAGACTGCCCACCACCTCGCGCTGAGACAGCAGCTCGGCCTTGGCCTCGGGATGCAGAAACGCGAGAGAGGCCAGGAAGAAACGCACTGCATTCGTGCGCGCCGACGTACGCTTGACATCCTCCACCCCCTCGCCGAGGAACTTGATGCTCATATTGCGTGCGAGCGACCGGTACGTAAAATTGCGGGCGCGGAAGAGCGGCCGTGCAATGGCGCCTCCGTCAAACGTAATGGCTTCGCGTAGCATCCGCAGCGTCGGCGAGATGACAAACTCTTTGCCCTTATCTGCCGACAGGTTGCGGGCAATCAGCTCCAATTGACGGCGGCGCAGCAACGTGCGGCAGATGCCGAGACAAATCGGCGCCATGTCCAGCACATGCGACAAATAGCGGATCAACAGAGCCAATACCACGGGCACAGAGGACATGACGTTGTCGTTGTTCATCCTTGCAGCGAATTCCCATGTATCCATAATGTCTGGCAGGTACAAGGGGTCGGTCTCACCCTCGTCGTCTTCGGCACCGGCATTGTCGTTCCGCGGTCGTGTGGATACGAGGTAGCTCCGGAGCAGGGCTGCATCGTCCGGGTTCTTGTGGTCGGGGTCATTCAGCTTGTCCAGGAGAACCTTGAAAGATTGAAGTCCTAGGTCGACAGGTTAGACACGAGCTGGGAAGAGAGCAAGATGGCAAAGACAGACACTCACCATGGCGAGCTTTTTGTAGGTCTTGGTCAAATGCGAGGAGCTGCATTAGCTGCCGCGCCGACGCAATCTCCTCAAAGGTAGGTGCCTCGTGGACAACCCGTGGACGTTTTCGCGGGGCCTCGCCGTCAGGCGCATACGGTCGTCGTTTCGCCATTGAGTTGCAGTGGTCGAGGGTCTGTTGATCGTCCGGTTGTTGGGCCGTCAGACTGCCGTTGGAGAGTCGTCGCGAGGCCAAGTAAAATACTGGCAGAAATCGTCAAAACTGGCAGAATCGGACCTGCCAAAAGAAAATTTGGCGGTGAGAGATGTTTTGCCGTGCCTGACCGCCGTTGTTCAGCGCCTGTTGACCAACCGCTAGAGAACAATTTTACCCACCGACTGGGGGTCTTACAGGGGCACGGCGGGGCGCTAGAGTCTTGCCTTGCGCTACGTCAAGACCATGTTCCCACTCTTTCCCTCTCCGGCCCTGTGTAATTGGCCAATGGAGAGAGGTCGTTCCTGCTCTGTCTAGTCTCGTTAGAGGGGTCCAGGCCAATTAATTGTGACCCAGATAATAACATTAAACAGGCGGTCGCACCTGCATTCACCCATTCTCATTCTCCTTTCCATTTCGCCCAAAGCATCTAGAGGCAGAACAACACCAGCTTCTGTCTTTTCTCGTCTGATCCGGACTCGAACGCACCTTCCCGTCTCCTAGCTTTCCTTGCGTGACCTTACCTCCGCATTTGGCAAGTTCGTGCCGTATGCTCTTTCTACGCCAGAGTACGAAAGTCGCCACCGTATTTTGCACCCGCGCCGCCATATCGCACATTTCCTGTCTGCGCACGTTCGCGCCTCTTGTCCCCAGCAAACGACCTACACAGCTTCGATTTTCCAGGACGCCGACTCTATTTACCTCCACCATGTCGACCACTACGACCGCGACCACCACGGACAACGAGCCCATCACGGCCGACAACATCCTGCGCCTGTTCCCTGACATCGACACGAGCGGGGAGGCTCTGGAGGGCCACGATGAGGAGCAGATCCGTCTCATGGACGAGTCGTGTATCGTGCTTGACGAGAACGACCTCCCTATCGGCAAAGCCAGCAAGAAAGTTTGTAAGTGCGAAGCACAGTGGAGGCATCGGGAGCAAGAACGGTTCACACAGAGAGACGGAGAGCGTAACGCAGAATGCTGGGCTAACCGATATCGACAGGCCACCTGATGACCAACATTGACCGGGGCCTGCTGCACCGCGCCTTCTCAGTCTTCCTCTTCAACGAGGACAACAAGCTGCTGCTTCAGCAGCGCGCATCCGAAAAAATCACGTTCCCCGACATGTGGACCAACACGTGCTGTTCGCACCCGCTCTCTGTGTCGACCGAGACGGGCTCGACGCTGCCCGAGTCCATCGAGGGTGCCAAGCGTGCGGCGCAGCGCAAGCTGGAGCACGAGCTTGGCATCAAGAAGGAACAGGTGCCGATCGAGAACTTCCGCTTCCTGACCCGCATACACTACAAGGCGGCCAGCAACGGTAAATGGGGCGAGCACGAGAGTGAGTCTCCCTCGAGGTGGACAGAAACAATTTTGTGACCAAGGCTAACCCGCCGCAGTTGACTACATTCTATTCATCAAGGCCAATGTCGACCTCAATGTCAACAAGAACGAGGTGCAGGCCACGAGCTACGTGCTCCCTGACGAGCTCAAGGCGCAGTTCCAGGATCCCAAGCTCAAATTTACACCGTGGTTTAAGCTCATCTGCGACTCGATGCTCTTTGAGTGGTGGAAGCACTTGGATTCGGGCCTCGACAAGTACCTGAATGAGCAGGAGATTCGGCGCATGTAGGCGATTGACAAGGAGCGTGTGGCAAGGCAAAGGCGCAAGAGCGTGAAAGAAGGATGGTCTCGAAACGAATTCAGTACAGTCGACGTAACATAGCATAGCAGAGGACCATGCCGACACTCGATGCCCATTACCGGGTGGAGGCAGCATAATATACGGAACCTAGTTTTCATGTCAAAATCTCTGTCTCAGACTGGGAGATTCGCAGTACGGGATACTATGTTTTGTCGCGTGCAAGAACCTTCTTACTCGTATGGACCCTGGCTGGCTTCCGGTACAAAAAGGTGACACAGTTATCGGCGAAGTTGCAGGGCCAGTCAGGCCAAGGCCGTGAGCAGGGTGGGGGTTCGTTAAACGAGCATAAGTGATAGGCGGACACAAAGAACCTTGTGAGACATACAGCCAAGCAAAAACCATGCACGGTGTAAGACGATGCACGGGGGCATTGGCTTGCGAAGAGAGGAACCACGTTGCAGCAGACGTGCATTTCCTGATCAGTTCGGCATATTCGACTTTCCCCGAAAACTGTCATTGGGCCAGGCGTGTTTATTCGAGTCCGTCTGATTCCAGTTGCCCTTATTGTCCATTTGTTCAGCCTGTATCTGCGGGTAGCCGGGGCGAGCCTTGTACTAGATGGAGACGACGACCATAAAAGGTTAAGTCGACTGCAGCCCGAAGGTCACCTGAGTACTGTGCGTTAACGTGCAGAACGCCTCTGTTGCGCGGTGAGTGGCTGCGTCTTGGATGTGCGAGAAATACTCGATCCTATTCGAGCCAATGAAGCCGTAATGTTTGTCAACAGAACGTCGTACATCCCGAGAAGGGAAGAGATCAGAGGAGTCGGCACTTTGTCTGCCTGAGGAGCTATAAGATACGCTCCGCACACTTTCCTTTGTCCTGGAGCCCTTCACTCCCTGTGTGGGACTCTTCACGTCCCTAATCTCTGCATGACCCCCAATCGCAAACGCGACCTGCTTCCAATTTGGCTGACCGACGCTTGGCCAGAAGGACATTGTCTTGGTCAGCCCTCGACGTGCGAGACAGCGGACGCCTTGCAGGAGACGGGTTCACAGCAGGAGACAGGATGAACGAAGAATCAACCAAGAGCAAAGTAGTTGGTGAGACGAAGGCTCCAAGGTGCCGAGCAACAAAGAAACCGAATGTCCTTTGCATTAGATGTCAAGGGACCTGCTGATGCTGTCTACCTTGGCTTTTCTACATGGTCGTCTGGTCTTGTTTTGAGAGTTTTGAGATCCTGTGCAGATGTGTATATGACAGACTGTTCTTTGAAGTTGTGCACGTTTCGGTTGCTACTACTCGGCCTCCTGACCACCCGTGCAGCACTGTTTCCCAACTTGTGCTCTTTTCCATGTTCCTCATCCAGCGACCTGCATCCATCCCACGCAACCCACTTTATCCTCTCTCTCCCTGGCCTTTCCTCTCGCTGTTGCCTTTACTGTCGGCAGGAGTATGTGCCACCTTAACTTCTTTCGCCAATGATAACCTAACCATAACATGTTGTGAGCGTTGTTTACGTCCTGTAACCCACGTATGCTGCCCCCAACACCCTGTCCTGTACACCTTCGGTGCCACAGCATCTATGTATGTTTTCCATATTTGCCCGTTCTTACTATCCTCTTCCTCCGCGGGTGCTCTCCACAGCATGCATGACCAACAAATATTGTAGTATTTATACTATCCATCTCGAATGTTGAATCCGTACCCTTTTTCTCTTTTCTTCCCCTCGCCCACTCAAGACCACACGAAGTTTCATGCACATTTCTGAACAATCGAACTATACTTGACTTTGATCTTCACCATTTGAGACAGCACCAGTAGTCCATCTAAAAACTCGGCTTATTCACATTGAACTCCAACTTGACTCTTCCCATTACGATATAATTATCTTAACAATTTAAGCTGTCCTGTCGTATCCCGACCGTGGCATTTCATCTCTGGCCCACTGCTTCTTGTCAATCCTCTTCCGTTCACGGTTACGCCACCGACAAGCGAATGTCTCTTGAATTCCGTACATCCCTCAACTGTCTTCGTCACCCGGGCCGGTTTATGCCTACTTCCAGAAGACAACTCTCACGTGTCCATACAGGAGACAGTATACAAAATATAGCTTAAAGAACACGGTGTGTCACCGAACAGTGTGCCACTTATACTGAGGCATTGAGACTTACGATGCGCAGGTTTACGGCGTGGCGGCTATTCTAACAAACTTAGGTGTCCTTTGTCGAACAACTTCACCAACACCACACAAAAGCCAAGAACAAAGGAGGGTACAAGCGACATCATGGCGAAGTTGATTAGTAGTAGTACCTCGTCCATGTCTGTTACTGGTAAATCCATGCCGCTTTCTCTGCCACTGATGCCTGCTCGGGCATCGCTCGTCCCTGCCCAGTGGGAGACCAACGTGCGTGTTATTGGCATGTCCGAATGCCGTGAGGCCGCCCTCTCGCTGGCCCATGCCTTTGCTGCTGACGGCCTGTCTCTGTACCTCGTGACTTCCGACGATACGGCCGGTTTCTCCGAGGAGGTAAAGTGGCGCCTTCACGTCGACATCATGACGTATATTGTGGCTGCCGTCTGCCTGAACGGCGTCGTCGCCACCATCGGCCCGGACTACGAGGGCGTCGCCTTGTGGATGCCACCGGGCAAGAGCCTCGACGGCTTTTGGACTATCCTGCGCAGTGGCCTGTGGCGGCTGCACTTCCAACTCTCGACCGAGTGTCGCCGGCGCTACTACGCCGAATTGCTGCCGCTACTCGAGCACTCCAAGGTCGAGGTCATGGCACAGCGGGGTGTTGTGGACAACAGCTACTATCTGCTGTACTTGGGGACGAAGCCTGGGGCACGCTGCCGTGGCTATGCCCGAAAGCTGCTCGAGCACATGCTCGTGAAGGTGACCCTCCTGCTTGCTTATTTTGTTTGCAATTATTGTGCAATTATCTGGCTAACTTTCACTGTTTCCTCCCTTTCTCTAGGCTGATCAGGAAAGCCGCCCCGTGTATCTCGAGTCGAGCTCCATTGCCAACAATTCGTACTACAGCCGGTTCGGGTTTGAGCTGAAGCGGGACATTTCCCTTGTCCGCGGTCCTGCCCCAGTCGGCCTGTCGATCATGGTCCGCGAGCCTCAGACGGTACCTAATACGAAACTCGACAAGGAGTAGCTGTTCTCAGGTGACTCTTCACAGCAGTATCGAGCAACTGTTCAAGATTTGCCGTCTTTATTCGTCGTCCTTCCCTTAATTATTCATAATTGCTCGTTGGCCTCTCCAGACTGTTGCATATTTCACGGCCTGTTTGTTGTCGTTTCCATTTTGTTACCGTTGGATCCATCTTTGTCTCCTATCACAAATCACGTCTTACTGATTTCGCAGGTAGCATAGATAGTATCGTCCATAAAGTCATTCATTATTTACCACAAATATAGTCGTGAACAAGCCGATTATCCACCTATCCAGTATTCCAGATAATGGCGGAATGAAATGGGAGAGAGAAAATAAAATGCAGAAACACGACAGGAAATGACAAAAGGAAAAGCGATAACCCCATTTTGACGCCATGAAAGATCCATTAGTATTGTTCCGTGGGCCACCGACATGAAAAGACGACAATGCGCCCTCTACTCTAACAACGCGAAGGTGTTGTCATCCGTTGTCGCATAGATGACGCTCGAGTCCACCAGCTCCTGCACGGCAGCCATGGTTGCGCCAAGACTGAGGTGCAGCTCGTTCTTCATAACGTTGATGTCGACACCCTCGCTCCCTGTGGACATGTTTCGCAGTAGGTTAAACACCTTTTGCGCGTCGCCCGACATGTTGCGGCCGCCCATGCCGCCGCCGCCACCACCACCACCGCCTACACCATAGCTGGCACCGCCGGCGTCCTGATCGACAAACATGCCGTCCTCGGCCTTGTTGTGGTAGCCATTGGCGCCGTTGGCACCGCCAGGCGCGCCGCGCGTCAAACTGAGGTGCACATACGTGCTCTCCAGCGCGTGGTAGCTGACCTCGTTGTAGTCGTCGACGGCACGCAGGAAATGCGCGGCAACGTAGCGCTTCTGGTTGAACAGCTTGAGGCGACCAAACACGCGCACGTACTGGTCCAGGGCAAATGGCGCCTCGGCCTCATCCTCGCTCTTGTCGGCATCAACCCACTTCTTGACGTCAATGGAGCCGGTGCCGTCGTCGATGCGGTAGGTCACGTTTGTGGGCTGGGGGTTGACGGCGCGGACCTGGCCGACAAGGGTGAGCTGTGTGATGGCGGCACCGTCAATGGTGAACTCTGCGGCGCCGGGATAGGCCTCTTCGGTCTCGACGAGCTGCTTCACGGTAACGGGTCGCAGGGAGTCTTCGTTGTAGTTCTGCCAAAGAGGAGAGAGATGTGTTAGCCAGCCAGAAGGGGCACTGGAAGAGAAAGGTAAGGATGACATACCCGTCCGCCGCCGCCGCCCTGGCTACCCGACTGAGAGCCGGACATGAAGCCACCACCCGTGTTGCCGCCATCGGCACTGTAGCCGGGTTTTGTGTATGCTCCGTAGGATGCTGTTTCTGTCAGTGATTGTTGACGTTCAGCCGTGTATGTGAACGATACTCACCCATTATGACTGCTTTTTGCCGTGTATGTATGAGAGAAAAGGAAAGTACAGGATCAGAATTTGCCTGCCAGTACCTCGAAATCAACAAAAGGCAATCAGATGCAAGGATAGTATGGTTGTGGTGTTTTGGTGGTGATCGTGACGAGGGGACGAACGAAGTGGCGACGACGCGTAAATCAGCGCGAGACGCGACGGGGCAATTAAGCCCACCGTGCTGCGGTGACTGCGAGTAGAGGGGTCGTAAAGTGGGTCGAACTGTCCGCCACGACGGATCTGTCGCAGGTGGCGCCTTCTTTCCAAAGGCAGACAGAGAGGCCTTGGAAATGGCAAGTGCGGTTAGACGTCGGTGGGCCACTGACTAATGCCAGAAGTCGCGTGTGCATCCCCATAGGCGGGTGGCCTAGCCACTTAGCCACTATGCCCGCTAGCCTTACAGTGGTCATTTCCCCAGCTATCGGCAGAGTTGCAATGCCTCGGCTAGAAAACACGTCTAGGCCGTTTGTCACTGTGCGTGAAGTCAAAAGCCGACAGCACTACGCCATGTGTGTGGCCTGGGGAGATGCCGCTAGCTAGCGTTGGTATCGCCATCACGAGCTTCTACGAGCTTCGACCCCCGACTGCCGACGAGCGCCCGGCTTCGTCATTGCATCGTCTCTTTTGTGTCCTTTTCTCTTTTGTTATTTACTTTTCTCTTCCATCTCCTTTACTGCCTTTTCGACCGCACCCGTCCTTCATCTCGATATCTCTCATCATCGTATCAACGATCTCGCTCGGCCGCCTGATCTCGGGCCTCGTTTTCCTAATTCTTCCGATTGACCGACGTTGTCATACTCGCCTTCTGTGACAATCGACTATCCGACTCCCATCTGCCCAAGATGGCGCGAAGCCAGAGCCCTGCTCTCCCCATCCTGCCCTTGCCCAAGGGCATGATTCTGTTCCCCGGCATCCTGCAGAGAATTCCGGCCACAGCCGATCGTCCGGACATTCCGGCGCTGCTGGCGAACATGTACGCCCGTGCTGCGGCAGCGGACCCGGCCGAAAACGATGGTGCCGCTCGGGCTGTCAACGAGGTGCCTGTGGTGTGCGTTCCCATCGCCTCGCCGCTGGTTGGCCCGCGCGGCCAGCGGTTGCTGAACAGCAAAGACAATAACAGTGTTGGTGCTACGAAAATGCCCGGCTTTGTGGCGGGCAAGACGACCAAGGCCGACCTTTTTGGCTACGGCGTAGTGGCCAAGATCAGCAAGATTGAAGGCCGTGCGGCCGGAGAGTTTACGCTGCACGTCGAAGGCCGCTCGCGCGTCGTCATCGACCGGTTCACGCAGGAGCAGCCGTGCTTTGAGGGCAAAGTGACGCTGTGCCCCGACGAAATCGACATTGGCGATGCCGCGCTGTACGAAGGGTTCCAGCGGCTCAAGGCGGCGTCGCGCGAGCTGGCACAGGTGCTGCGTGTGGCCGCCATCATTGCGCCGGACCGGCCGCATGCGCGGTTCACGCCGCTGCTGGCGCGGCGCCTGGACGCGTACATCCTGAACAAGTCGATTGCCGAGGCCGGTGTGCTGGCCGACTTCATGACCAACATCGTGGTGGCGTCGTACGACGAGAAACTGCAGGTGTTGGCGCAGGTCGACGTCAAGACGCGCGTGGCGCGTGTGGTGGAGCTGCTGGAGCGGCAGGTAGGCAGCATTCGCAACAACGTCAAGATCACGACAGTGACAATCGATTCGGATGGAAACGGTGACAACAACAACAACAACGGTGGCGGCGGCGCCCGCATCTGGGATCCTCTGAAGCAGAGCCTGCCGCAACCTAAGAACGGCCAGGGCATGCCTTTCAACATTTTGATCCCTACCAACGGACTGGGCAATGGCAACGGCATATTTGGCCCTGGTATGGGAGGTGGCGGCGGCGGCGGCGGCTTCGGCGGCGGAAACGGATTCCGTGGCGGCCCCGGCGGCCCGCAGAGCGCCGACCAGCAAGAGCCAGACGAGGTCGAGGAGCTGGCCAAGAAGCTTGAGGCGGCAGAGCTGCCACCGGACGCTGTCAAGATTGCCGACCGTGAGCTCAAGCGGCTGCGCAAGATGGTGCCGGCGCAGGCAGAGTACAGCGTCATTCGCAGCTACCTGGAGACGCTGGCCGAGATCCCGTGGACGAAGGTGACGGACGACCGGCTGGGCCCGGGCACGCTGGCCAAGGCGCGCGCGCAGCTTGACGGTGACCACTACGGCCTCGAGCAGGTCAAGAAGCGGCTGCTCGAGTACATGGCGGTGCTGCGCCTCAAGCAGTCGATCAACGAGGACGTCGAGGCGCAGACGCGCGATGCCCAGCGCGCGCTGGAGCTGGCCAAGGCGACGGCCGCGGCGCCGACCAACGACGCCGGCCCCGAGGCCCCGGCCGATGCCAGCCCTGACGAGCAAAAGGAACAGGAGGCCAAGGCGGCCTCCGCCCGCGCCCAAGTGCAAGCGGCCGACGAGAAGCTGAAGGCGCTCGGCGCACGTCGCATGACGGACAGGTCGCCCATCTTGCTGCTTGTGGGCCCGCCGGGCGTGGGCAAGACGAGTTTGGCGCGGTCGGTGGCGGCGTCGCTGGGCCGCAAGTTCCACCGGATCTCGCTGGGCGGCGTCCGCGACGAAGCGGAAATCCGTGGCCACCGGCGCACATACGTGGCGGCGATGCCGGGCCTGATTATGCAGGGCCTGCGCAAGGTGGGCGTGGCCAACCCGGTGATCCTGTTGGACGAGATTGACAAGATCGGGGCGGCCAGCAACCACGGCGACCCGTCCGCGGCGATGCTCGAGGTGCTGGACCCGGAACAAAATTACACGTTCCAGGACCACTACTTGTCGGTGCCGTACGACCTCAGCCGCGTGCTGTTCATTGCGACGGCCAACAGCCTGGACACCATTCCGGCGCCGCTGTTAGACCGCATGGAGATGATCCACCTGCCCGGCTACACGACGTTGGAGAAGAAGCACATTGCGATGCAGTACTTGGTGCCGAAGCAGATCCGGGTCAACGGACTGACGGACGCGCAGGTGGGGCTGGACGAGACGGTGGTGGCCAAGGTGATTGAGTCGTACACGCGCGAGGCGGGCGTGCGCAACCTGGAGCGCGAGCTGGGGTCGGTGTGCCGGGCCAAGGCGGTCGAGTACGCGGAGGCCAAGGACAGCAACAACCTGGAGGCGTACCGGCCGCAGCTGACGGTGGATGACCTGGAGAAGATTCTGGGGATTGAAAAGTACGAGGACGAGATTGCAGAAACGAGCAGCCGGCCGGGTCTGGTGACGGGTCTGGTGGCCTACAGCTCGGGCGGCAACGGCAGCATCCTGTTCATCGAGGTGGCGGACATGCCGGGCAGCGGGCGCGTGCAGCTGACGGGCAAACTGGGCGACGTGCTCAAGGAGAGCGTGGAAGTGGCGCTGTCGTGGGTCAAGGCGCACGCGTTCGAGCTGGGCCTGACGCAGGACCCCGTGGAAGACATTATGAGGCAGCGCAGCATCCACGTGCACTGCCCGTCGGGCGCCGTGCCCAAGGACGGGCCCAGCAGCGGCGCTGCGCAAGCCGTTGCGCTGGTGTCACTGTTCTCGGGCCGGTCCGTCCCACCGAGCATCGCCATGACGGTAGGTCCTTTTCCTTACCCTCCATCACACAACAGGTCACAGACGACTGCCACACGACAGTTCGCATAGGACATCTGCTGACGTGCATTTTAGGGCGAAATTACGTTGCGCGGCCGCATCACGGCGGTGGGCGGGATCAAGGAGAAGCTGATCGGTGCGCTACGGGCAGGCGTCAAGACGGTCCTGCTGCCAGCACAGAACCGCAAGGATGTGCGCGACCTCCCACAAGAAGTCAAGGACGGCCTCGAAATCATCCACGTGAGCCACATCTGGCAGGCCATCCGGTGCATCTGGCCCGAGGCGCAGTTCCCCGGCGCCGAGCACGTCCCAGAAGTGGAGAGCCGGCTGTAGGAGGAGCGAGGACAGTGATACGAGTTTGTTAAGACTAAGGGAGCATCCAGCGTAGCTTTTTAATTGTTTTTTTTTTCCTTAAAGTTTATTTCCCTTTCATTTACCCTTTTACTTTGTTTATATTTTCTTGCTTTATTTTCTATTAAACTTATTTTTTATTTAGAAAAACCTTTCTCATTATTCCTCATTATTCCTCTTATATCCCGTTGTTCCTCGTTCTCGTTTGTCCATCCTCCGCGTGCAACAATTCGGCATCGTTGGGCGTGTCGATGTTGCACGCCCTAGCACAAGCGAAGGTGTCGCCAGGTGCGCTGTTGGGTCACTGCCCGTCCGCACATCGTCTCGGCTCGTGCCCCGTCTGTTGTATGTGGTCTCACGGGCGTCGCAACGGCTGTTTCTCGTTTTGTTGTATACGACGTACGCGTATGCGTATTCGGAAATGCACAAACATGCAACAGGCGCGCATGTCGCAAATAGAGCGAAGACTCGAGAGAGGGTGACACGCGTTCTTCCCCAGGTGGCCACTGTCACCCTCCGCTGCCTCCGTGGTCAGCTGCGGTGAGCATCTGCCTTTCGTTTAAACGTTGGATGAGAGGTGTTGGTGGAGAGACGTACAGTGACAAGGAGGCGTCAGGGACGCTGAGAAGGGGAAGCTGAAGCGTGATCGTGATAGGACACGCTCATCGTGACCATAGTCCTTGTCCTACGCCCTGTTTCCGACTTCCATCGTCCCCGTGTGACACAAAGTACCATTAGCCGTGTTTTTGACTCTCCATTGCCCTCCCTCTTTTGCCTCACGCAATATACCGTTTACTGCGACACGGTATTTTCTTCGGGGCGAAGTGAAGGCAAGTAGAGACGTCCTGTCAGCATATAAGCATGTTGTTGGAGCAAGGCAAGGTCACTGTATGAGTATCAAATATTGTTGTTTATCTTCCTTTATGTCTTCATCCGGCTTTGTTTACTATTTATCCTCTTCGATGGCTGTGTGGATGGGCTTTATTTCTCCCGATGCCGCCCGTTGAGAGCCGTTACGCCTCTATAATAATTTTGTGCCCTCTTGCTATTGCCTCCTTTACATGTGCTTCTCTGAAGGCCTCTCCGAGCTCGTTGCTATTTAGATCCTCTTTGTCGCTGTTACTGTAAATATAATAATTCGCTGCCTCCTCGGACTCAACAAGGGGGAGTCCGGGGGCCATTCTATTTTCTTTCCATGTCCCTTCGACGGCGTTGCCATTGTCTTCTATTTCCCTTCTATTTCCATTCCATACTCATTTCGAAGGAGAAGAGTATCTGTTACGACGATGACTTTGCTGTGTAATTGTTTACATTTTGGTACCTTTCTTTTCACTCCTACCACTTCGACCTCCTGCACATTTCCCAACGTCTCGCTTAATCTGCATTCCTTGGCCTATTGCCCTCCAGCATACCGTAGAGATTTTGGACGTCTTGGCCCTGGTTCACATCCCACTGCATGATCTTGTGCCCTTTCGTTAAACTCTGTCTCGAACCAGCCAATGCTCCCATCTTCTGCTTCTGAATTTCACACCCCGTTTCATCTCGTCGTACATACGTACGCCGTCCCTTGTCCAATCCATTGTGCACCCTTTGGATTTCATGCCTCGTGGCGTCTTGAGACATGGCCTCTTCCAGGAACCTTCTTCCGGGGCAAAACAAGACAAATAAAAAATAAGGTTACCTGGGGGGCTGGTCGACATATTGCTCATATGCTCATATCATATGTTCATATGTTCATATTGACCATGCTACTGTATACAACTCACGCATTGACGTCGATCGGGCTTGTTATCGGTGCGATCTCGGGCGGTCTACCGATCCCGTCTTTTCCATCCCATGTCATATTAATGCTTACCGTGCCACTTCCATATTCATGTCTTGTCCATCTTCGTCTGTCATTTATATGCCATCTCCGTCTCCATTTATAGCAATAAGATGCGTCAGATCCTAGCACCTCATCTCAAACCTCAAACCTCAAGGTTCAAAGCCCCAAACCGCACGGCGAATCACGCGGCCTGGCTGGACCGTTCTCCAGCCAGGCAGACAACTGTCTAGACGGAAACTTGGGCGCCGCACCATATTTGTACAGCAGTATATATGTTTTCATATCATTATATTCTAGTTTCACAATAGCATAATCTTGTTATATCGTTGTACCGCTAGAGCGCTGCGAGTTCCTGGAATAATGCTACAATAGCCACGAGGATGTCCGACGAGCGGGACAGGAGACTGGTTTCGAAGTATTGGCAGCCGGTTTTGCCTATCTTTCCATTCCTCTTGCATCGAATTGTCCCTTTCTTTGAACCTTCTCGAATTGTTCCATGCCCTTACCTCATCCTCATTCAGTTGAAGCTGTCTGACTTGCTACAGGCTCTTTTTCTTTCTTTGAATCTTGCTTTTGTTGACTTGCTACGACCCGTGCATCCCGTCTCCGTCGCGACAACACACACAATGCAATATGTAATACGTCCGATATTGGGCTGATGGTTAGATAATTTTTGTACGTGGGCATCGTTACTATGTCTGCAGCGCAAAGCATTCTGCCACGGCCTATTTTTGCTTGTCATGTATTGCAATGTCTGCCTGCAGAGCGGCCCACGGCACGGGAAACGGGTAACTGTCGCCGGAACCTGAGAATAGATGGCTGCAGAGTGCAGAAAGACGGCAAAATGAGATTAATTGGCACACAGCGAAAGACCGCAATACCACTGCGAGGCTTGCGTAAGCCTAATCACTAAGAAAGAAACGCTACAACGCATGGAGAACTCTCGTGATTCTTTCTGCCCGTCTCTCTGCTCAGGTGGAGAGTATCGACAGCCATATCGCCTACTCGCCTTCCACCCTTCCTCCGGACTTTACATGTTTCTCCCTCGCTACACCGTCCATGAGGCCGTCGTGGGAATTGTACCGAAAAACAAAGCAAATACAGCGGAGCACCAGCACAGGTCGCAATGTGGTCTGGGCGAGAATTGGACTGATGACAAGACCCTGGGGAACATTCAATGTGGACATTGAGCCAGCCATCTTGCGCGGGTCTCAACCATCGCTTCGACGTACACGTAGGATTCCGTGGTATCGATCTCATCTAGCCTCTGTAACTCTCGCCGTACATGTATACTTTGTATTCGTAATACACCCCATGTCGCTTCATACTTTCTTTCCGCTGCTGTATTGCTTTTCAAAGAGGAAAGCCTGTCTTTGGCGTTCCTTATTCCTCTGGTACGTTCTTCTCTCGTCACCTTCCCCTCACCTCACAGCATACCCTGGTATCGACGCATGTGCTTCGGTTGCAGCTATGGACATGGGACAGGCATAGCAGAAGGGACCTGTCATTCCCCAACTACACATCGCCCCCCAGTCATCCCTACCGTGTTGTCTTGACGGTCCCCTCTGTGTCTTTGTGGCACTCTTCCACACTCTGTAGCCCCTTGGCGATTTCCATTTTGTTTGTCTTTTCGACTGACCTTAAAACACGCCGGCGCAAGGAAGCAAGACATTATTGTCAATTTCTTTCCAACAGTGGCAAAAGAGACAGTTCTGGACAGCGATGGACTGTGGTGGAGCCGCGTGCGCGTCCAAATGAGAGGCTGAACGTCCACAGGCGCTGCCAGAGCTATGCGCCACGGTGCGACGATGTAACGCAACTGACGTCTTTTTAAATTCAAAGGACCACGCTGTCTCTCATTACCAGCCCCCTCTGTACATCGTCCTCTGTAAGATTTTTATTGTTTCCTTTCTCTTTGCCCTGGTGGCCCTTGCCCCATTTCTCCGTTTTCTCCTTTTCTCCTTGTCTCCTACCTGCCTCCCTTGCAGCGTTTTGTCCGTTTTCCATGCCATTGCAAGGGACCATGTCCCGCCGGCGGTTTGATTTCGTCTTACATTCGACCAACAGGCGTCTTGTGGAGCTCGTCCGTATGCACGAAGCACACAACGATGACTAAAGAGAACAATAAAGAATCTCCACAACGAGAGAGCACAGCACAAAAACACTGGCGTGACTTGTCCTTGTCCTTGAGATGCAGCGTTTCCTCTCGGGATACGTGATTTATTCCCCGTCGGGTTCGTAGTCGTTGCATTCCGATGGCCACTTGTGCACAAGACTCATTCCCGCCCGTCCCAGCAGACGGATGCGTGCATATGCCAAACTCCACGCTTGTGAGTTGCTTGTACGTTGCATGCCGCATCGTCTGTCGTACGTCATATATTCTGCTGTCCCACCGTATCGGCTTGGCCGTGTCCACCTTTCCATCTGGTATGTCCCAATGCTGAATGTCTGGCCTCGACCATGCTCGGGCTCGGAAAGCTGCATATCGACCTGCATGGTAACGGCACATTCTCTGCAGGTGCCCTGCGAGGGAGAGGGCAGCATCTCTCTGCGAGGGTATACGTGTACGACGCATATCGTCGATATAGTCCGTGTCTCTTGTGTATGTCTGTTTGCACATTTTTTCGTCGATATGCATCTCTTTGTATAGTATCAATCGAAACGCCACGATTTGGCGTACCAGTTTGCTTGCCGATCCTTGCGGTTTGCAGTACTTTCTGGGCCTGCCCGGTGTTAGAGAATACATGTATTTATTAAGAAGGGTTTTTGAAGATCAATCGCCCAGTCCCTTGCCTGGACGTCTAGCGTGTCGCGGGCAGAGACACTGCGGCCGTCACCTACGTCAAGTGGGGAAAATAGCCCTAAGTTTTCGCTTATGAAGACCACTAGCAAAATAGATCGTCGCCCGCTAAGGAGGACCACGTCCGACCTCCGTCGACGACTCGCTTTGTTTTTCGACCTTGGCTTTGCCTACTGGGGTGGAGAACGGCAAGAATTGATTGGCAGGGAAGGGAATGACAGAAGACCAGAAAAGAAAAAAAAAAGCTTTGACATTTACCCGAGGGTTCGGGAGGGTCCCTCAGTCCGTTTGAAATAAAAAAGACCAAGCAGTCGTCCCGGCGTTGCAACGCATCTCTGGACATGTCTGGTGCTCCATAGCTGTGCAGGTATTGGTCCCTAGTAACTTTGTGCATGGAGACATGTAAGATAAATACGACGCAAGGAGCTGTCACAACATCACAGCCAGGCTCACGCTGCAGGATGCCTTCATTTAGCACATGCACTCTGCTTGCCCAACTAAGAGACTTCTCCTCACCACTCGATACGTAATACTAGGTCAGTCCAGGTTCCTTGACTCAACCCACTATTTCGTCTCCATTTCACGAGGAATTACCAGACTGTTGGCGCTCTGCGTTTCACTAAAATGCTCTGGGAGGGTGGGTACTTGATGGGGACAGCGTTGCAATGGCGTGTGTGCGAATGTCTGAGTTAGCGAGTATGTGTGGGTGTGTGCGGGTATGCGTGGGTGGTGTGTTGGTATTGTCCGTAAGGGAGGCTACAAGACTTTATGATGCATTTGTCACGTAACATGTCGTTGTGGCGGTTTCTTTCTCCTTCCTCTCTTTGTCCTTACCTTTACGGGGAACGGGAGAGAAAAAGAAACAGTAAAACAACACAAAAAGCACCTACAGGGAACACACCCGGGGCTCCGCCAAAAGAGCGCATGCGCCAGAAACTGAGCGATGCATCTGGACCAGGCACACCCACGTGGAAGTAGCGTCGAGTAAGAGCGCGCTATGCGTGTGATATTGGTTTGGAACGCGCCTCTCGTGCATGGGATACAAAGCCGCTCACACATGCCGAAAATATTCTGAAGCCAGTATCCCATCACATCGCATGGTGCATCCTCGGGAGGAAAAGGCTTTTTCGATCGTTTCCAAGGTTGAAACATAGCATACTTTGTAATTACGCTGTCCGATTGACAAAATGGCAACGACGAAAAGTCCATGCGCCTTGAGTTGATTACAAAAGGGATTAGTCCAGGAGCCCAAGGAGGATGAAGGGATGTAGCTCCAAAAAGCAAGACAAAAAAAGCATGGAAAATAGCAGACAAAGACACACGGCCGGGTGGCTTGCATGAGGCTACTGGAGCATGCTTCCCGACCGGAGCATTCTCAAAAAGAGTGACCGGGGTTAGGGGGAATATTTTCTGGCCTTGCCTTGTACGCGAGCATGGAATGGAAATTTGACAAGGGGCTGCTTCACCACTGTGGTTTGCATGGGCTATCTGGGATGCCAACCTCGCAAGGTGGACAGAGAGAAGTGGAAAAAAAACAAGACGACCAACTAGAAAGACAGGGATGCAAGATGCCTGGGCAAGCGAGAAAGTGAGACAGCAAGTGGACGCGGAGACAGTCGCTACATCCTGAGTCGTTCGGTCCAGTGGTGATTGACCTTGGATGGCCGTTGAAAGTAATCGCCAACAGGCGAACTTTGGCGGCTGGTCCTCTCCTGGTTACAGAGACCTCACTGCTTTACCCCCACTTCTCCTCAGTCTCCCTCGTTGCACCAATGCTGTGTGGAGAAAGCGGGCTCCCTTTGTCGGTTGTGCCCAGTGGTTCTCACTATGTGTCGGAGACCTTGGAGCTCTCGAGCCGGTGAGACGAAGGAGCAAGAACTCATATGAAAGGAGAGGAGCTGCAGCTCAGAAATCCATTGGAACTGTCCGGGTCTTGCTTTTGGCCTGGCTTATGGAGCCTAGCAAGGCGTGAAAATTGGAGGGAGAAAAGCACGGAAGGATCAGACGGATGCGACGCTGATGTGGGTAGAGGTGGCCAGAGAGTGCAACGTTGAAAGGAGATAACAAAATCTGGTCGAGATTCGCGGTTTGAACGTGAGGAGCAGCGGCGACAAGCAATGGAGCTTGGGACTAAAGAGTATCTTGCAAAGCAGAGTTGTGTTTGTAACAGAACGAGAGGACTAGGGAGCGCCGGTAACGGCTGGCACATCAATACATTGTCCGCTTTTAGTTATCGTCAATGCCGCACAAGTAAGTACTTTTGCGTGCTGAACGACGTCAGTTTTAAACGTCGCCCCAAGTCAGTTATCCAATTGTGGGGTTCACGCTCCTTCCGTCTTCATCCAGAGAGCTTGGGATGATAGCTTCCTTCCCTTCTTCCCTTGTCCACTCCCCACACAGTTTAGGTAAACGAAGAGCCCCCTTTTCGCTCACCGGCAGCTAATTTTTCAAACTTTCCCTCACTTTTCCCTCCCTTATTCCCACTCTGTTGCAGTGTGTTTTGTTTCTCCAATCGCCCTTGTCGGCCTCGGTGGCCGCTGCGGAGGAAGGACTCCACCGATGCCCGGATGCATTTTGACCCCCTTTTCACCTCCTGCCTCTTTCGAACCGTGCTGTCATGGGAGTGATGGGGCAGGAGTGGCAACCGTGCGGCTCCGAGGTTGAAAACACAAGCACGGATGGTGTTCCTTCGTGCTTTCCCTGGTGTCATAGTACGGGCCTTATTCGCTTATGCTTAGCAAGTCGCCTCCCCCCAACAACAAAGAAAACAGTAAAACAGACGTCCCTCAAAGAAGACGGACCGAAGAGGTAATTACAGGCCACGGCAATCCACGCAACCCAACTGTCTGGGCCCAGTGATTTGGCTGGACTCATTATTGGCGCGGGCGAAGACGAGGGGCTCGCCGTTCGGGGTTTGCTGGCTTCATGGCGTTCTTCCGCTCCCTGTCGATGTACTGAGCAAACATAGGAAAGAAAAACGGGAACGAACGCTAGGTCATGGCCGTCGTCCATAGGGCCGCCAACAACGGAAACTAAAATACAATAGGAAACAGACGCGGTCAAAGTAGAAAAGAAGTCCGTTTCCTCGCCGTTCATTTGTCTCCATTTTCCCCTCACGCCCTCTCCGCTCGCCGAACTGCCCACGCCGCAAATTTGCCTAGTTGATTCTTTCGCCGACGTTCGGCTTTCAACTATTGCATGTTTGGGGGAATATTCTGGGTTTCTTCTCTCCCGTGAGGTGGGGATAGTCTAGGAGGCAAAGTCAGATGTGCGAGGAAGCAGACGCCCTACAACTCCTAGTTGCCATGCAACTTGTGCTTCTGCTGAGACTGTGGTTACGAGGCTAAGAGGACAGAGACAAGCGAACAAGACAAAACGAAACAATTAAAAAATCCGTTGCCGGCCACGAACAAAGTAGTCTACTAAGTACGGCCACGCGAGGGGAATGCGGGACCGAAACAAGAAAAAGAAAAACAAAAGTGGACCAAGGAAGCGGAAAAGAGCCACGAACTAGCATATCCCTCCTTACTTTCTTGGTACTTTTTTTGTCAAACTCAGTCAAGTTCTTGTCAATCCCTGTCATGTAGGCTGAGAATAGCACAAGTGAACAAGAGCAAAAGTGTAGAAAGCAACAGCGCAACGGGCGTGTGATTTTCCACAACAGCCTCGCTTGTTTCGTATCTTACCTTTGCTTTTGACAACGATGCATAAGATACCGTGGCAGCTCACAAAACTGAAAAAAAGAGAAAAATATATAGAGCGAGCCATACTGGCAGAGGCGAATGCTACTCGTTTTGTGTAAGTGGTCTTGATCCACCTCAGGTCGCCAGTGGCTTTGCTGTGTCATTTTGTGTAGCTGCGCCTGCGGACGGGAGGATTGAACGTTGCAACGCTCTGTTTTTCTTACACTACGACACATGACATACTATTAGCATTAGTATGTGTACCTTGACAGATGCACGCTAAGAGCCAGTTGCCGCGAATACTGCCACGGCACAGCATATCCAAAGAAAATGCGACGTAGGACAAAGACTATGAACCCAAGAAAAGAGCCTTCATCTAGGTTCTTGTCTTCATGTCTCCCTTGTCTCCCCTTGATCTCTTGCCAGGTCTCCCATGAATACGTATTGAGCGACCCACGCGGCGTGGGCTCAAGGAGTATCAAACAAGTGAAGGAAGGAACTTGGAGAGGGGGGGGGGGAGGCTGGAGGTAAGCATTAGAAAGCCGGGCAGGTTTGCCGATAGCGGTGACCGGGCTCACTTCATTGGTGTCGATTCACCCGGAGCCCAGAGCTCCGGGCTGGGCCAAGGCTGCCCCTTCGTTTTAATCATCTAGAGACCGGGCCAACACCAAGAGTGCTTGAGGACAAGAGAGGAGAAATAAAAAAACATGACTATGAGACATTGAGCCTCCTCCTCGATGACAGGAAACAAAGTGGCAAAGAAGATTAAAACAAAACCGACCGTTGAGCTAGGTTTACTTCGTACCGTAACTAGCTGGCAACCCATCCACCAACTTGAGGCAATTGGGACGAAGCGCACAAGACAACAGCAGTGGCAAAGTGTCGAAAGCTGATTGCCCATATGAGAAGCGCAGGGGTGCACTTATTGTCGCCGCACACCAGCTTGTCTCTTCGTTGTGTTTCCTCTGCCTGCCCGCTGAACTTTCGCTGCTCTCTTGTTCTCCTCGGTGCAACGTGAGGGAGGTGTTGAGTGTCCTCTGGTACGTGGAACGGTGCACTTTCAGCGGAGTGCGAAAGTGTCAAGAATACGATGGCGGCCCCACTTTGCTGATCCGGAGGACGCTATTAAACGCCTATCCGCGGAGGTGGTGCCGGAATGAAAATTAGCGAGTGAGAGCGACGAGGCCAGGCCTGGCGTACCCACCAAGCCATATGGCTACTTGCAGAGCAAAACATGCTAGTCAGCTAAAACGTGCTAAACGAGCTAACGGCGCTAAACGAGAGGAGACGGACGTAAGGAAAAAGGAAAAAGGAATAAAAAACAAAAAGGAAAAACAAAAACAAAAACACAAAAGCAAAACAAACGACGGCGAACTGCTAAAAAATAGAATAAAATAAAAAAGGCAGTTGAACGCCCTTTCGTACGCCGTAAAAGCAAGGCGCGGAGCATTGTCGGATAGCCCATATTGTGGGCTGATTTTTACAGTCTAAAGCCGTCAATAGTCTACGGAGTATTGCCACGTTCAGAGGCGGAATGGGGACGCTGGTGATGGCCAGGGTCCCAGGGGCTCCATCCGCAGATTCTGGCAAGGGAATGGACCACAGAGTGGCCCAGGCGTCCACAATCCCCTCAATTGTGACAGCCCCAGCCGAGGTGAGGTGCACGGCGCAAAGGGTGCCCACAGAGCGACAGGGCGAGCACTGTCAACCAACATACCCAATAAAAAAGATGGTCAATATTGACCCATCAATAAAATGATTCGCCGACAAGTTCAGACGGAAGCCGTCAGGGATTGCAAAGCCGAAGGGTAAATGGGCCCGAGGGTGTCGCAACTGACGGCGTGCCGGGTTCGATGTGGATGAGAGCCGCATATTATGCATCCTCTTCAATGGGGAGCGTGGGTGACGTATGTCTGTGCCACATTTTAAAACAAGACTGACTACGTCTTTTCCGTAGACTCGTTTCTGAGATGCAATGTTGAGTCAAGTGCAGGCATGCGATGGGGTTGTTGCAAGTGGGCAATGCTGCAAGCCATTCATCCTGGCTCCTTGAGGCAACGAATTCGCATTCGCAGAAGAGTGGAAAAACAGGCTTCAGGCAGACAATGACAATGCCCCAGGCCGACTAAGACAGCACCCCGCGCAACCTTGCAAATTCGCAAGACAGCTGTCATGTACCAACTTAGCACGGCCCAGCAAAGAAACAACTCCCATTTCAAAAAATGGAAAGAAGCAAATGTACAGGTTCCATATCGGACGCTGCCTCCGCCTAGTTACTTTTTTTTTTTTTTTTTTTTTTTTTTCATCCTCCATATTCTCCTTGCGAGTGCCGACATACTGGCTCGGGTCATCAGGATCACCAATCCTGCAATTTCGGGCGGGACTTCTTGCCCGTCCTGAGTATGCACGATGCTTCAACAAAGCGGATGGGAGAGACGAAGAAAAAGGGAAAGGAGGATGTCGAAAAAGGGTATGGCTTTGTGAAGGGGGCTAAAAGCATAAAAACGGCAAAAATAGGCGGGTTGGTCGGGTTTGATGAAAATGAAAAGGGAAAGATCAGCCGGTATTGTTGGGGCACACGCCACTCAACTGTGGACGGGAAACGGGACGTCAACCGAAAAAGGGAACGAAACTTTGTGAGGGTCGAGGCAAAGGGGGCGAAGAGATGTGGTAAGGGTGTATACATATGGAAACATGACAATTTATGACACCGAAGTGGTTACGGTTGAGCCGGGACAGGACGGGGCAAGGAAGAAAAAGAAAAGAAAAGTTGACAGGATGTCGGAGAAAATAACAGAACGAGCTTGGAAATTTGGATTGGAACGAAAACGTGGCAATTTCGAATCCATGCATGAACAGTGACGTTTTGGAGCATTTGCAGTAGTGGGTGGTGCCGTGCGATAGAAACACGAAAGTAAGGCAACGAATGCCCGATTTAGGTCAGAAATGCTGTTAAAAGAGGTAAACAGAGCCGATGACAGTTTTAAAAATCCGGGGTGGTCCAGGTTTGGCCTCTAAGCGAGTTTGCCTTCATAGTGATGTGTATTTTCTTCCCCTCTCGATAGCATGGCACCCTCTTCTTGCAGCAAGCGGTCTATTGGTCCAGGCCGGGACACAATGCGAGCGGCTCAAACGAACTTCATCAAATGCTGGGAAGATTCGAGCCTGTGCGGTGTCGTGAAATCGAAGCATATGAAGAGAGACCGGTGTTTTCACCGAGTCTGTGTGGAGGCTTTTTTTGCGGGTATGGATTTTGCAGATCCGAACTGATCAGAGGCAGGCAGGTACGGTGATGCCCTTAAGAGCAGCAAGGTACTTTTTGTTCTAACAATGTATCCACTTTCGGTAGCGGTTTTGAATTCGAGACGCTCGGTGGCTGTGCTGCAAGTATGCATAGCTTGAATGCATCGAGAGACGAGGAACGCAAAGGCCTGTGCTTTGCAAATCGTCAGAGCTTCACATCATAAAATAGCTTGTTCATATAAAAAAAAAAGAAAAACCAACAAAAGAGAGCGGTCGAGAGCCATTGCTGATTTGCGCTGCGTCGAGCCCGACAGTACTCCCTTGTTTATTTTAAACTCGATCGGCGCGGTACGTAAAAAGACGAAGCAACTGGTGTGTGATGTGCAGGTGATTGTCGGCAGATTGGCAGTGTCTCGATCGATTGACCAGTTGTATTAGTCGCTGTCCGTGCAGCACTGTGTTATGTCGCGTGGTGTGAGAGCACAAATATGCACAAAGGGGGTGTTCGTCCAGCGGCATTAACAACGACAGAGATGTCCAGCGATACGACGATGCGCTGATCCCCCTGCTCGCCCCGTTCTTTGTGCCATAGTGACTTGTAGAATATGTTACCCCGAGCGCATAGTGACTCTTTAATTGCAGCGCTGTTAGCAATTGAAGAGGCTAGCCGAAGTGCAAAATTCATAAGAAAAGGACAAAAAAAGAAACAGCATAAGGACAGTATACGTGATAAACTAATAGGACAACCGGACGAAACCAACAGGCCACGATACCAGCTAAAATTATCGCAAATGACTGCCACGAGACAATCCACGCTCTCGCAAAAGGTAAAACGGGGTGGTAACACGACATATGCTTCGCGTTCGGAACACTCCCGTTCCTGCTCTACCGCCTTTGTGGATGTGCACTTACATCTCGCTCCGATTCGTGCTGCTTTGCCACTTCATTTGTACCGCCTCCCTTTCTTTTGCTCGTTTTGCCGAAATCTCTCTCGTACTCGACAGTGTTTCGCTGTCCCCCAGCATCCCCTCCCATTTTGCCCTTATTTGAAATAGTTCCCACAGTCCTTGTTTTGTCATCCGTCTTTCCTTGCATCTCTACCTTTCACACGAGGTGAGCCTTGCGTTTATGCAAACACCCCATCTCCGGGGCCGTTCCGGTGTTTGGTTAGCTTTGTCGTCATATGCACGCCTGCTCTGGGTGCTCAGTAAAATTGCGGAGTGAAGTGTGTGGTGCATGCAAAGTGATGTTCCAGAAAGCGGGCACAATGAAAAGGGCAGTTAACGCTGACTTTTTAGCCTCAAGCAAGGGACTCTGCCAAAACGAGTCGGACACGATGGCATGCAGAGAAGTCTTACCTGGAATTTTGTCGATATGCTTTTTGTCTGTTGACTTGAGATTAAATGGCGTTTAGCATGTAGCAAGTATGGGGATGAGACCCACAGTCAGTCTTCTGATTTATCGCTCAAAAAGTTCAAAAAGGTCGGTGGTAAGAGATCCGCATGTTCATAGAGACTGCCCTGTAGCAAAAGCCTTGGCCTCTTGGATTTGCTCCTTTGAATTTTATTTCCGACTCTCATCGGTTCTTCAACATAATTGGCATGAAAGCCCTCGCTTTCTCTTGTTTCTATGAGGAGTGACGTAATAGGCCAATTTGGGAACAGCGCTGAAGCGTAGAATCGAAATGCACCTCAGATGCAAAATGATTCGCGTAGAGCTAGATCATACATCCCAGGCGAGCTCATTGCCATAGCCATCCGGGCCAAAGCTAGACGGTTTTCCGTGTTCCAGCCAAGGAGAGTACCTGTCGTCTTTGAAGCCGTTGAATAGAGCTTGACAGCCGCCGAGATTAAAGGGGCACCGGGGCGGAATGGCTTGCTGCCCCGGTGTTGGAATCAGGCTGATGGTGTCCACTGACCCAACTGTTTCCAGCCGTCCATACTGTTCGGATGATCTACTCAAGGTTGAGCCGTGTCTATAAATTAGGAGTGTAATAAAGCTGCTGGCTGGAAGTCAAGTACGAAGGCGTTGCAATTGCCAAATATGGAAAACCAAAACGGGTTTCTGCCCGTGAGTATGGGGTAGATAGCCCGTTCCTATTTGCAATACCGACTGTTCAGTGTTTCTTATTTCTAAGTGTCCGTCATGTGGAGGACCAAGTGGACAAATGGCGAGACTGCTGAAGACAGGCGAAACACGCGACTAGGGCAGCTTCGTTGGCGGACCTGCATTGTCTCTGGATCGTTGACAGCTTATGCATGACGAGTTTCCTCGCACAGGTCTGTGGGCGCTTTGTTGGGGAACTGTTGGGGCACTAAGCTTAGACGCACGTGCCATGCAACTGCGGGATACGTAACGAAGTTGAGGCTCGCAAATGTCCTCTCATTAGAGGTCGACCCTGGTGGATCTCTCACGAGATGAGGGAAAGTCAGGTGGAATACACAGTGGCAATCGAATCCGTCGTAGACACTCCAGAGTCATGGAGCACGGTACTGCACGACGGCAGAGCGGCCAAGCGGCAGAGCACAGGGGATAAGAACGATCTGCCACACCCTAGGGCTCTGACACCTGGATTGTTTGTCCAATGCTTCGTCTGATAGTTAACCGCCGCGTCAGAGGTTAGACAAGACACGAAAAGAGCGGGACGAGTGTGTTGATCGTCCACAACCCGTCTCAGCAACACTGGGCGCCGTCTTGTATTCGCACAGTGTGGTCTCCGTGATTAATTTGTCTGGCTTTCAGGAAGCTGGTTGGTAGTTCGGCCAAGCTCATACCCAGTATTCCGTCCACGGACGACGGCGCGGAGAGGACGAACAAAACGAAAATAAGAAGGAAATGGGACGAGCAAAGAAGAAGTGTGGAAGAACAAACACAAGGCTAGGCGCCCGGCGACTTGCATGGCGTTGCTACACTCTGTGGGATACCGAAAGAGAAACAAGAACGAAAAGTAAACAGGAGAGTTGCATCGGTGCTGTGAAGTAACGATGCATAAATACCGCGTACGACACTCGAAAGAGAAATAGATGCGAACGGGACAGGAGGGTTACTGAAAAAGGAAAGCAGCAATGGGTCAAAAAAGGAGCCCATTTGCTTGGGGGGAAGGAGCAATCAATTGAACGCGCTCAACGAGAGTACCACAAACGGAGAAGGAAGAACCGCGCCAGTGGGACGCAACTACTGGGACAGCTTTCACAAAAGAGCTGGTTGCCAGAATGCATGGAGCGGCGCAAGGTGCAAATGGCTGTGCGCTAGCATGAACTGCTGCAAGCTGAAGCATGGCTTTTTGACTAGCGTGCAGGGGGGGGAGACGCTTTCTCCATTTGGACAAGACGAGACGGAAACTCCAACCTAACGCCGTGCAAAGGGGCAATCTGCATGGAGTATTAACCGTGCCTGCTGTGCAAGGAGCAGGGATCTTGGACACCATGCACGAGCTTCTTTTCTTGCCGACGCGGAGAAGGAAGCGACGACCACGGGCGGCACAGCCAAAAAAGAACAGTTTGCATATGTGTCATGGAGAGAAGAAAAGCACGGTACGCCGTACATAATATGAGATACGCATCTACATTAGGTACTCTGTATGTATCGGCAGCCGCCCCGATTGCCCACGAGCAAACCAAACTCTGGGACGTCTTGGGACGGCTACGCTACAACGTACCGGGAGGGAACGAACCCGCGCACCAGCATTCTCCGTGCCCATGACAAGCTGCAGATATGCCGTCGGGTTCGTACCTAGCTCTTTGCTTGGTCGACTGCAACGCTAGGGTCTGTTTTTGCACGGGGTTATGTCGTGTCTTCCCTGTCTTACTTCCGATGGACGGAACAGTTGTGACCTGGCTTCGTTCCTGCCTTACAAAAATATGCTCCAGACTTGGGACAGGGCATGTGGGACAGAGGGCGAGAAAAAGATGAGATAAAAGCACACCGTTCTTGTAGAAATAAACTCTATACGTGAAGCTAATATGTACGTCGCACACAGGTCCCGTAAAAAAGGAGGCTGCCAATGTACTTTTGCAGTTACCCTATTTTGGTATCTGACATCCCTGGGCAAGCCAAAACCAAGAATTTTGCACAACATAACACCTGCCATTTTCTCTGAGAACTCCCCCTTCCGTAACGGTAGTTCTAGGTGTCTATAACTAGCTCTCGGCAGGAGCAGGAACTAAAAAAGTGACGGCAGGCACAGACCAAGGTACGTGTGTTTTGTACGTGCAGCCTGTACCTGCAGGTCACCCGGTCTGCGGCAACTTCGAAACCCCTTGCTCTTTCCAGCTTGGACACATTGTATTTTTTGACATACGATATGTTCGTCCCTTCTTCCCTTGCCAAGTTTCTTCTTCACATCGCGCCTACCTTTTTAGTGGATCCTGCCTGCCCTGGAAGTGCTGTTCGTCTGGTAAGGAAGGGGCCTCCTCATACGGGGCAATGAAATGGTATTCCTGGTAATCCGGCCCTCCGAGCCTTCTCAATGTTTTCTTCCTGTTGCGGAATGACGAAGCATGTCTCCTACGCGTAAGAGCTCATATCGTTGCCTGGTCTGGCAGCTCTTCCTACCTTGTATGGCTTCTCTGGGTTTTTTTTGTTTTTATTTTTATTTTTATTTTATTTTTATTTTTTAAAAAAATTCTTCTGCCGGCTTTCGAGATACTACGCTCCTCAAATGATCTCGCTTTGGTCCGTCAATAGCATCTACTCGGCCTTCGGCCAGGCTGTTCCATTCAGTTGTCGCCCTGGCCAACCTTTTGGGCTACCTGATCTGCCTTTTCTCGTCCCACCGAACTCAACCACTACGACACTCCATCCACCAATGCTCTTCGTTTCATCCTACCTCCCTGCTCATGTCACATTGGAGTCCACCCTGGCCAAGAGAGCGCCTACCTTGCGCCTGTACCCCGTACACCGCTTTCAAAGCGAGCCGTTGTCCCTGCTTCGAGTTACAAAGTTGCTTGTTACTTGGGTATCACCCCATTCCATTCAGAGTACTTTTGCAAAGCACACTCCCTCCATTACAGAGTCACATACGAAAGCCCCATACGGCAAGCATCCCTGCCTCACCATTTGCCATTCTCCTTGTCCCGAATGCTTCACTAACCGTCCAATTGCTCTTCCGAGGTGTGTGATCTTGTCAGGTACCCCGTACTGCAAGAGATGCTATCCATGTTCGATGATCGCGAGAATGCTCTGCGCGTTTGTGGGCACCCTCCCCTGCCTCATGCTTTTGTCCCTAAGATTTTCCCCCATACGATTTTCCACCCAATACCGGCCATTTTTTGCCATACATTATGCACGATACCTGTTACGTCGTACTCTTATTTACGACGCTGGGCTGGGACTTCGTCCTCGCGCACCACCCACTTGCCTGCACATCCAGCCCACTTCTCGTTCCTGGGATATTAAAGACCGTTGCCTCAACACTGACAAGCTCATAGCAATGCTAGAACCTGAACCGTGGAGAACCAAGCAGCAAAAGCGAGGAGCGAGCTAAAATAGACACGGGAAACAATTCCAAAAGCACCAAAAACAAATCATAAGTGGATACACGGGAGAAATTTGTCAAGACACGAAGAATGCAAGTTCGGCCTCTCGCCTCGTACGTGCCTTATGAGTATTTACCACGAGACAAGCTTCTACAATTTGAGTTTGTCGTCCAATACATCGTCATATCAAAACCACCGGGCTAAAGTCTTAAAATGCATTTGCTCCTTTTCTTCTTAGGGTTATATGAACGCTGACTGCAGACTCTTCGCACATCACGCACATCGTGCGCATCACGCGCATCACGCGCATCATGCACATCAGGCACAGCCTGCGTACCCGAGATATTTAAGACGCTTGGGGATTAACCGGAGTTCGAGACTGACCTAAATGTGCGGGGACACGAAAGACGAGACAAAAGAAACAAAATGACAAAGCAGGTCCATGGTGAAGCACGCTTCTCCTACGTCGAATTTGGCAAATCATTGTCACCGTTTGGAGACACATCCGTGCCTATCAGATGAATAGCCCCCGTCGAAACAAACGAATTTCAGATACGGGTCAAGGTGCACAAAATAAGAGATCAGGAAGCAAACTCGCCTGGCGGTTGCCGACCTCCGATATGAGAAACACACGCACACATGCTGTACACAACGGACCTTAAAGACACGGATGGAAACCACAACAGCCACGATTTGCACAATGCCCGTCGGCCTATTGCCTAGTCGCCGAGCTGTCTTGCGTACTCGCCAGTCTAGGGGTGCCACGTCCTCTGTTTGCACGCCTTGCGGTCGAAGACAACACATTGAAACCTGGCGGAGAATTTGCGTGCTCTAGAGAAGGAAAACTTGAGACTGCCTTTGCGGTGTGCGACTTTGTCAGTTTTGCCATCCGGCCAATGCGTAGCAAGAGGTTACCCCCGGATCACAAGACAAAGAAGATCCTCACGGGCGCGGACCCTTGCCATCTGGATTTCCTGCTATTCAGAGTCTCTATCCGCGCAGACAAATATATCCGGAAAAGGTTACCGAAAAAGGTGTGCAAGTCAGCGGAGCGGTCAACATTGAATTCGAAGAGCAGAACTAGGCATTGAGCGAGACTATCTGGTGCATCTGCGCCTAAGTGAGTGTGCGTGTGTCTGGGTCTGCGCGAACACAACTTGAGGGGTGGCGACCGAGGGAAGAGCGACGGTTGAGGTGCGGTGGTCGACAAGACGGAGTACATACAACAAACTTTCAACTTTGTCGCCCGTCTTTTGGGGGAAGTAAAGAATGAAAACAAGGGGGGGGGGCGTGTTTGATGTGATGCAAAGAAGCAGACCCGCTAGCGTCAAGACCCTCGTTTTTACACCCCTCCTCCCCTTGTCTCTGGCCATGTTTTTATATTGTACTAGGCCTCTTCAGTTTGCTCTTTTCCTTTTGCTCCTCTTCTTCAACGTCAACCCTTGCAGTTCACACAAAGCACCATCACCCCGGTCCTTGCACGGGCCAGAGGCCCCTCCCCTTGTCAACTTTCCCGTTGACTTTTAAAGTCGCACAACCTCCGCTCCGCTGGCCACCACCAACAAGCCACTCGCCGGTCTGTCACTCTCTCATTTTCAAAGGTACCAGACTGACTACATTCCCTTTCAGTCCCTTCTATTCACCAGAGTCAATCAAAAGACAAAACGAAGACACAAAATCTACGGGACACTTTATCTGGCGCCAACACAAGCTCTGAACCAAGACAACCACCAGTGCCACCCACACTTCTCCAACAACAAGTAACGAGCCGCCACCCGTCTCTCCGTGAAAACGTTTTTGTCTTGAATTGCCACCTTTGCATTCTCGCTCTCTTCTTTATTCCTTCCCTCCTTTATTTTTTCTTTTTCCTTATAGTCTGGGTTTTTTTCTGGAATTTAGCACTTGCAGCCCTCTACCTTTTCAACACGCTACTTATTCATCTCTCCCCCTTTCTTTCATCGTCCCTCTTCCAGCCCAGGTTTCGCTGCCTTTTCTTCTATTCACACCCTACCCATATGAGTTTGCATGTGTTCATAAGACTAGCAGACTTCTACAACAGCCCGCCGTCCCCAGCAAACGAAAGAACCTTGAGCTCAACAGTCGCATGCTACCCGTGCCAACTTCACCTTTTACTAGCTCCCCCCTGCCCCATGGATATTGAATTAGCAGTCTCGCCTTGCCTGCCATTAGAGCTACCTTACTTGATGCTTGGTTCTTAATCCATTTCTCTTCTTGCTTGCTGTTTCTGCTTTGATCTAGCTTTTGCCCGTCTCCTCCTATTTGAAGCCTCCACTCCCACCGACCTCCCCCTCCCCTCCCTCCACCCCCCTTCTTTTTTTATTATCCTCTTCACCCCTCCTCCACCTGTCTTCACCATTGCCTTACTTGCTTGTCCTTTCCACTGTTAGCTTTCCATGCTGTTGCAGTGTGCCTTTGTCTTTCTTTCACCTATGACAGTCCACTCCGGCTGTCAGCTCGAAAAATACAACGAGTAACAGACGACTTTTGACAACAGACACATCGAAAAGGCGGGAGGAACGGCTTTTTGCCATCGTCTACAGCTCCCCTTCTCCAGAACCTTCAACCATCGTCTTATTTTTATTATTTTCGTAACTGTCATTTCCGTCACCATTATTCTTGCATTTATTATAGAGCACTCGGTGCTTCCCTAAGTTCCTTCGGTCGTGCCAGGTCCCGGGTTGGCTTTGCCCATGTCCTTAGACCATACTACAGGCTGCTCTATAGGTTTCTTTTTTATCGAATAGCGCTGCTGTATGACGCTCCTTTATTTTCCCCGAAGTCATCCACACCAATCGCACTCTTCCTTCTTTGCTTCTTATTTAGATATAATAAGCTATCTCCCTTCCTTCTCGACTATCGACAATCGTTACGACTACCATTCAACAGTCGGTCGTTGCCTTACCCAATTTAGCACCGATTTGTCTCCCGACTCGACAACTCTTGCCGTATTTTACCTTACATTTTCTAAACGACGTCCTCCACCTACACTTGGACCTCACATTGTCTCGCCCCAACCCTGCATTGAACACGAAGGGCATGTTGGCACCATCAACACAGAGCGCTTCTATTATCGTCGATGGGTATAGAAGTCGGTCCTCTTCGTCTTCTGGGTTAACAGCAACCACTTAAGTCGGAAACCTATACCTCCACATCTACCTGTTCGACGATCTTCGGTTGTATCTACAATCCTGGCGGCTGCACTGTGTATCTAGAGTAAGAGGCGTGCGCAACTCCCATGCAAACTCCAGAGCTGGACCATCTTCACCGTCGTCAACAGCCTCGCCTCGGCACTTCGACAAGCCATCTCAACCAGCGACGAGTCTTCTCCGACGTGACACGCTTATCCATCGACCTGACTTGGGCTCGATCAGAGTCGGACCAGGCCAGCCGCGCAAGGGCCTACCCTTCTCCGCCCATGTCAGGGTCTCCTCCGCTTCCGCCAAAACCAACTCACGAGGCTGGCGAACGAAGTCAAGGAAGCTACCGGACGAGTCACGATGCCTACAATAGAGTTGCGACGACGGCTCCTTCCCACGGCATCGACATGAGGGTACACTCCAGAACCCCGGCTCACCAGTCGTATGCACCGCATCTGCACCGCCAGCCGCCATCCTTTTCACATACGATACAAGGTTCCTCTGCCAGATCTTATGCTTCCGAACCCCAAGACCGATATTCGTATCCTTCGTACGGGCGCCCAGAAGACCAGCAGTTGTCGTCGTCCGGAGGCCATGTCGCTGCCTATCCTCCGCCAACGCATCTCCAGGGGCCACCAGCGATGTCGGGATATACGCCGTATTTGCCACCACTTCCAGGACCATCATCGATGCAACAGGGATACCCGTCTTCCCCTCGAGCTTCGGCACCCGCTCAGATTCCGTCTCCGATCCCAGGACAACCGGACAGCTCATCTCCTAAATCACAACGAAAGACGAAAGGGCATGTCGCGTCAGCTTGCGTGCCCTGCAAAAGGGCCCATCTCCGGTAAGCACGTCCACGCATATTTGCACCACAGTGCCCTATTTTCTCTCGTTTTTGTTTCCGTTTTCACCTCAGTAGACCTTGTTTCTCAGGCTACTTCTACAATCTTTGGGCTATATTGTTACAGCCAAACGCGAGTAGCCGAAAGGAGTGGTTGATCGCGGGTTCATTCCTTTTGATTCAATTTGAAGTATTCTGACATCTTCTTTTGGTACTTTATAGATGTGATTGTAAGTGATAGTTTGACTTTGCTTTGCATTCTCAAAAACCGTCTCGCAGACCAGGCCGGGGTCCTTGCAAACTATTCCCTTTGCTCCGGCGCTATTCTTGAATTTCGCTTCCCGCCATTGCCAGAAAGATGACTCGGAACTAACCAAATTGCAACAGCCCAACGACCGTGTTCACGGTGCCTTAGTAACGGAAAGGAAGATGCTTGCGTCGATGTACAACACAAGAAAAGAGGCCGGCCAAGGCTTCGTGAGGAGAGAGATTTGAGGTACGAACTATCTGGGCGAGGAGCCTCGGGTGGCCATTCAGCTGAGCCATCAATTCGCAGACCGGTGCCGACCTTGTACGGACAACCGTCCGCGTCCTTGGGCTCCGGGTACGCTGTTTCTACCCGCCGAGGCCAAACCGCTTCCTACAGGGTTTTAAAGTCACAACCTGCTGATCCCATCGTTCCAAGGTTTATTGAGCGTGGTTCTGCTTCCGATGCCAACGTCTACTCTGCTCCTGTCTCCATCACAACCCGTCCACTTGAACCAGCTGTTTTTCTCACCACCGACCTTGAATTGGCAAAGGCGTCCAATGCCTTTCTGGACGCAATCGGCCGCCACACTGTCAAAGGCCTCAACCTCTTGGACATCATCTCTCCCATGGAACGTGAGCGTGTGGTCTCTCTTCAGCGGCAAATGCAAGATGAACGCGAACGCAAAGATCCCCAGTACCTACCCCCGATTTTTGTTAAGCGGGACGAAGAGCGCGTGATACAGTCCCTGGGTTTCTCGGCAGAAGATATGTCCCGATATGCTTTGGACTGGCACGAGTACCTTACGTTCAGCTCCTCAGATGCTCAGCAAAGAACGGTCCCAGTACACATGGGCCTCGCTAAACAAGACTCGATCTACTTTATTGTCTTGGTGCTCGACGTTGCGGTCCGGCCACTAGGGCACCCAACACCCTCTCCGCACTCGTCGTATGCGTACCAGGCAATGCAGCAGGCACCACCACAGCACCAACTTTTCTCGCAGCCCACGCCTGTTTCGGCCACTTTTGATACTGGGCGCCCCCGCATGCCGAGTGACTCTGGTATTCTACCGCACCGTCCTACACCGTCCGGTGGCCCGTCGCCGATGCTCTCCGGTCTGAGCCCCAGTGTTTCTTCTACATATGCCCCCTCGCCAGGCCGCACAGATTATCCTACGGGCCCGCCGTCATATCAGACACCTCGCAGCGAGCTAGTTTCTCACCCTTTGTCGCATCGCCAGCCACAGCCAACAGGCAGTCCTAGCTTTCAGCTACCTCCGATCCGAGACCGACCGGTCCCGGTAAGGCAGATGGACGGCTCCGCGACCTCGAGAGACGACAAGTCAAGAGTCGATATTGGCGGCTTGATCGACGGTCCGGAGCCACTCAGACGAATGCATTAAATACGAAATGCCTAGAATCAAACCTGCGACGGATACTTTTTTTCAGCGGCTGCAGTGGTGACAACGAACGGGAAGAGCTCCTTTCCATCTCGAACTACGAATGTATGATGAGGTCAATTTGTTTTACGACACGTGTGGGGTTTATGCTATTGCCGCGGCATTTTCGGATCGCGGTGGCTCCTTTTCTCACTTTCTGCAACCATGTTTGTATTTTTTTTTTTTTTTTTTTCACGTTTTCCCTATTATGAGCGAATATTTTCAAAGTACTCAGTCTCGAGTACTCTTTATTTTCCCTCGACGTGGATTCATGAGGTGTCGGCATTTTCTGTTTGTTTCTTGCTCTGTTTCCTATTTGATTGTGTCTTATTGTATGACGTCGCCATAACGACTGGTTTTTGTTACGTTGAGCTTCGGTCTGGTCGGGTTGGTTGTTCTCATCACTTGGCATATACCTCTTTTGCGGGGAAGGGGGGGATGCTTTTCTTACTTTTTACATCTGTTTCAACAATATCCAAAGCATATGTGTGTTACTGGTATTGGCGGGCCAATCTGGGTAAGGAGGGGATAACATGGTTCAGGGCGCAAAGTCAGCAAAAAAGACTCGCAAGGCAAAGCAGACGGTCGCATTCATTTTCGTTTCGATTAACGTATACATGTATATGTACTTATATTTTTCGATTCTTTTTTGTATTTCTTGTGGATGGCCTTTCGTTTCTTACGTCAAATGCAATTTTACGTTTTCGGGAGTATATGAGTATCTTTATTTTTAAGTCTACGAGGTCCAAAACAGACGTTTGTAGAAGAGTTCGGGGGTTCTATTAATAGGGGAGTACCGGTGCATACATGATAGGTATCTAGAAAAGGAGAATACCAATCCGATTTCAAGGCAGTAAAACAAAGTTCATGAGTATTCCTTACTCCTGAATTGTTGTTGCCGGACTTCTCTATCCACACAGTAATATTTTAGTTGATTATTTGTGTGTACTACAGTGCTTTTAGGTCCAATATACCCACTTTTTCTATTCTTCAACACGTGATTTGGCATCTCGGTTACGCGTACCTGGAGTGGCGGAAGGCGCGACTGGCATACTATGGCGACCTGAGCGTGACAAATTGACCAGAGTCCTCCGAAATTGGTCTTGATATCTTCATCGCTTCCCGAACCCACTCTATCTTACTCGGAGCGTGACCGAACGTCACTTGGAGAACGGAGTATTCTGCGGTGCTGGGGAAGCATATTGGACGACTTCGATCTTGCGGTGGAGGTGCTGGCGAGCATGGATATAGCACCTGGTAATGGGTCCCCACGAGGCGTCAAACGGAAGGCCGAAGGCGATGTTTCTGTGGACAGCTCCGTCCCACGCCGAATCCAGGTAAGTTTGTGTCTTGCCCCTTGTTGGTCGTGGGCAGATCTGACCGACGACACAACAGGCATTGGACCCGAATGTGGTCAACAAAATCGCTGCTGGCGAGATCATTATTGCGCCTGTCCACGCCCTGAAGGAGCTAGTCGAGAATGCCGTCGATGCCGGATCGACGATGCTCGAGGTGCTTGTCAAAGACGGCGGCCTGAAACTGCTCCAGATCACTGACAATGGCTGTGGCATTGATGTAAGTGGGCGGGGCACGCACGAGGGCATAACAGGCAGAGGATGTTTTGTTTTGCAGCTAACAAACCGAAACAGAAACAAGATCTACCTATTTTGTGTGAGCGCTTCACGACGTCCAAGCTGCAAAAGTTTGAGGACCTCGAGTCTATCGCCACGTACGGTTTCCGAGGCGAGGCACTGGCGAGCATCAGTCACATTGCGCACCTGACGGTCACGACGCGAACCAAGGACTCGGAGTCGGCATGGAGGGCCTACTATGAAGCTGGAAAACTGGCACCCCCAAAACCGGGCCAGGGGACGGAGCCAAAGCGTGTTGCGGGCCGCCAGGGCACCCAGATCACTGTCGAAGACCTATTCTACAATGTTCCCACACGCCGCCGCGCGTTCCGGTCAACCTCGGACGAGTACAACAAAATTGTCGACATGCTCGGCCGGTACGCTGTCCATTGTAGCCATGTGGCGTTTGCATGCAAGAAGCACGGCGAGTCGTCTGCGAGCATCTCCGTGCAGGCGGCGGCGAGCACCGTGGACCGTATCCGGCACGTGTACGGGGGCGCCGTGGCCAGCGAACTGCTCCCATTCGAGACAGACGACAGCCGGTGGGGTTTCAAGGCACGCGGCTGGGCTACCAACGCCAACTTTAGCATGAAGCGCACGACCCTGCTTCTTTTCATCAACGGCCGCAGCGTCGACTCCACTAATATCCGCAAGGCACTCGACGAAACCTACTCGGCGTACCTTCCTAAGAACAGCCACCCCTTTGTGTACCTGAGTCTCGAAATCGATCCCCAGCGCGTCGACGTCAACGTCCACCCGACGAAGCGGGAGGTCAACTTTCTCAATGAGGACGAGATTAGCCGAGCGATTTGCGAGCACATTAGCTCGAAGCTTGCCGAAGTCGACACCAGCCGCACTTTCTCGACACAGACGCTGCTTCCGACGGCTGGCTCCCGTAGCATCAATAACAGCGATGCAAGGAGCGTGGCACCAACGCCGAAGTCCGGCACGTCACAAGCGGCTGCACCGAAGAAGACACCTGCACGCTTGTATGAGAACAACCTTGTGCGGACGGACACCAACATGCGGAAAATCACAAGCATGTTTGGACCTTCTGGACCGACAGTAGTCCACATGTCTCCATCCACTCCTGGATCCTCTGTACGGAGCGGTGCAGAGGGTGCCGATGGAGACGGTTTACCACCCGGTGTCGCACAATACGAGGTGGTGGACCGCGAGGCAACTGTCAACTGGCTGAAGAGTGTGCGGGAGCTCAAGGAGGCCGTTGTGGAAAACTCGCACAGAGAGCTCACCGAGATATTCAAGAGCTACAGTTTTGTGGGCATTGTCGACGAGCGCCGGCGGTTGGCTGCGATCCAGAGCGGCGTCAAGCTGTATCTGGTGGACTATGGCCGGGCATGTTATGAGCTTTTCTACCAAATTGGGCTGAACGACTTTGGCAATTTCGGTGTCATCCGGTTCAGCCCGCCTCTCGACCTGCGGCAGCTGTTGCGATTGGCTTTCCAGCACGAGCATGGCAAGTACGGTGACGGCGGCGACGATGACGACGATGGCGACGATCCAGACCCTGATCACCCAGACGCGGATGAGGCTGTCGAGGCCGTTGCCACACAGCTGATTGAGCGCCGTCAGATGCTGCAAGAGTACTTTTCGCTGGAAGTGACGCCAACAGGCGAGCTGTTGAGCATCCCGCTGCTAATCAAAGGCTACACGCCACCGCTGGCCAAACTGCCGCAGTTTCTGTTGCGGTTGGGCCCACGTGTGCGCTGGAATGACGAAAAGGGGTGCTTCGATACGCTGCTAAAGGAGCTTGCCAGCTTCTACGTGCCTGAGAAGCTGCCAATCGTCAACGAAGACCGGCAGCGACACCAACAGCAGCAGGCTCTGAAAAAAGGCAAAGGGAAAGAGGAGACCCAACATAGCGAGGACGGCGACGATGACGTTAACGACAACGGCATCGACGATGATTCGCGGGTGCGGCGCTTGCATGTTCAGCATGCTATAGAGCACGTCTTTTTCCCAGCGTTCAAGACACGGTTGATCTGCACGACGACGCTGATGCAGGCTGGCCTTATCGAGGTCGCGAACCTGAAGGGCCTTTATCGTGTATTTGAGCGGTGTTGACGACGGCCTTTTTCAATGCGGACAAGACGTTACCGGTTTTCGGGTTTTGGCTTTCGGCCTATCGATAACAATTTCATGAGTTCATGACACAATGGAATGCATTTTTAGCAATTATGGGTGCCGATGTATTTGTTATACAAAAAAAAAACGTCGCAATGGGAGGAAATAACAAGAGGTGAAGACATAACAGCAAAACACACAAAGGACACACACACGTTGTCTACCCGCCATAATAGAAGAAGCCATGCACCCCTGACCTTCTTATCCCTTTTACCCACAGCATTCAGCCAGGTGTCGGTCGTGTTCTTGTTTTGTGGTTTATAAAGATGTCAAAAAGATACATACGGGTGGTGAAGTAAGCCCAACCAACAAGCGCCCTTCAAAAAAATAACCCTCCCTGTACTTTTTACGTCTCCTTTACTTTCATATAGTCGTCTATTTGTCGCTCTCCCAGTCCGGGTTCTACAGTGCGTTAGCATCGTGTTTCTAGTGCGAGAGAGAAGGGAGTATAAACACCTACCTTTTTCAGAATGACAAGTCCCTCTAGGGTACTGCTGAGGCTAATGTACTGCTCGTCCTCCAGCTCGGCACGCTCTCCATATGCTAGTAGCACAGGTGTGCTCTGTGTCTGCCAGCCCGTGATCGTCTTCGGCCGGCCGGCCTGGCCGACCACATCGACGGCCTGACCGACACGGACGTTGACAGTCAGCGGCTTGAGGTCCTCGTCGAGCGTGACGAGGAAGCGAGGGTGCATGGCAGTGACGAGGAAGTAAAGCAGGTAGTGCGAACTGGAGGTGATGAACTGCTTGGCGTCGAGCATGGCAACGAGCACGGCCAGCAGACCGGCAGCAGAAACACGCGACAGGATCTGGCGGTCGGTGTGGAAGGGGCTCAGCGACAGGGTGCCCTTGCCCATGTGCAGCAGGCCCTGGGCAATGCGCACCATGAACAGAGACTCCTGGTCGCGATGGTAGTAGCTGGCGAGCTGGCGCAGCAGCTGGGCCAGGCGCGCGTTGTTGGTGCCGGCGCCCAGCAGGCCCATGGCAAAGATGGCGTTGAGGGCGACCTCGTTGTCGTTGTCATGGGAGTAGCGGGAGAGCGTGTCATAGACCTTCATCTGTGGGTTGCTTGGGCTGACGAGGCCCATGGCCAGCGGAACCGCGCGGCGGATGTTCGGCTCGCCGTAGTGCATCAGGTGGCCAAAGTGGCGCAGAACCATCTCCTGGCCGACGTCCTCGCCCATGGCAA